AGGGTTCATCCCAGAGATGCAGGGATGTTTCAACATACACAAATCAATAAATGTGATACATCACATTAACAAAGAGAATGAAAACCATATAATTTCAGTAGATGCAGAGAAAAGCACATTACGAATTTTAACATCCCTTCATGATAAAAACTCTCAAAATAGATAGAGAAAGTATGTACCTCAACACAATAAAGACTATAGTTGAGAAACCCACAGCTAGTAGTATGCCAAATGGGGGAAAAAATGAAAGCTTTTCCATTAAGATCAAGAACCTAACAAAGATGCACACTTCCAGCAATCCTATTCAACATAGTAATGGAAGTATTTGAGCGGTTAGGCAGGAGAAAGAAATAAAAGACATCGAAATTGGAAAGGAGAAAGTAATCTGTTTTCAGGTGATATGATCTTAAATCTAGAAAACCCTAAAGAGTTGACCAAAAAACTGCTAGAACTCATAAATGAATTCAGTAAAGTTGTAGGACACAAAGTTAATGTACAGAAATCAGCACTTGTATATGCTAATTGTGAGTTATTTGAAAAATTAAGAAAATTTCATTTACAATAGCTACAAAAAATCAAGATGCCCTAAGAATAAACTTAAAGAGGTAAAAGATCGCTACACTGAAAACTATAAAACATTGAGCAAAGAAATAGAAGACACAAACAAGTGGAAATACATCATATGTTCATGGATTAGAAGAATTCATATTGTTAAAGTGGCCATACTCCCTAAAGTCATCTCCAGACTTACTGCAGTCCATATCAAAATTCCAGTGACCCTTCAGAGAATTAGAAATGACAATCCCGTAAATTCATATGGAACCACAAGAGAGCCCAAATAGCCAAAGAACACCTGACAAAAGGAACAAAAGCTAGAGGCGTCATTACCTGACTTCCGAACATACTGCTAGAATATAGTAAGCAAAACAATGACATTAGTGTAAAAAACAGACACGTAGACCAGTGGAACAGAATAGCCCAGAAATGGACACACTTACAGCCAACTGATTTTTGACAAAAACTTACCTGGAGTAAATCTAAGAAATATATAAGAACGTCCATGAAGAAAATGATTAAACATCATTAAGACACATTAAAGAATACATAAATATTTTGAAACATATGCTGTTTCATAAATTGGAATACTGACCATCGTCAAACTGGTCAGTTCTTCTTAAATTGATTTATGGGTTTAGTTTGATCCCAATTAAAATACCATTAGTTTTGTTTTTGCTTTTTTAGGAAATCAAATGAGATGTCTCCCCCCACCCCCTTTTTTTTCTTTCCGGTTGATCTATACAGCTTAAAGTATATGCTTGTTTCTCAGTGAGTGTAATACTTCCCAAAAAGGGGCTTAGGTGAGCTATAAAATGGGATACGTTCAGTATTACTGCTGTAGGCAATTTAACAACACAAAACAATAAAATAATAACACCCTGTCTTCCCCCCAAAGAAAACCACTGTGTAATAAAATTTGATGGAAACATGAACATCTACCATATGTAAATACTTTAAACATTTAGTGTAGTGTGTGGAAGGAAAAGAGGCAGCAAAACATTTTGTCATCTTTTTATATTGCTTAATACCAAGGTCATGACCAATTTTGAGAAGATAAAGCAAGGTGATAGGTCAGGCTGGTTTTTGGTTTGTGGCTTATGAGTTTACCCTTCAAACATTTTGTTATAGGCTATCTCTGAGCTCTCTGAGATTTACCTATTTTTTTTTCCTCTACCAGCTGGTAATAACTGGATTTTAGCTATTGCATGCCTTATACTTAAGAGCTTGGGTGGTATCATTGGAAAGGCCGGGGAGGAACCCTTATGCAGGATTTTGCTTTATAAAAAGTTTGGATTTATGGTGCCAGTGCTAGATTACAGAAGGGGATCAGGCGTAGCAATAGAGCAGTATTTGAGCTAGAGGTTGACTTTTACAATCAGTCAGTCAATCAGTAACCAAGAAGTAGCAGCATTTAATATCTTAATCATCCATTTACTTTAAAAACGTGTTTATCCCTCATTATATAATGTTCCCTCTAGCAGTAAAGCAAATTCTTGTTTCTACTTTTCAGACACTGATTGGAGACACTGGTTAATATTTTTGGCACAGTGATAAGTGTGTTTATTAAGTTCTTTAGGAACCAAGAGGAGATGGTAGGAGGAAACCTACTGAGGCATGCTGTGAAATTCTGGTGATAAAATATGTTTAAATTAAGAGGGTCATGAAATCATGGCATTCCCCTTTCACCTATATTCTTTTTTTTTGCACCATAATTCTACCATGTGGTTTGGTTAAGGTGTATTATGATAAACCTGTTTCTTAAAAACTCATACTTTTGTTACAGTGAATGGTGATGTCTTCCATATGACTGAATTGAGCTACTTAGGGAATGGTTATTATTTTTAGATCATAGGTGACTTTGAGGAGCAATGAGCCCTTACATGCATCTCTTGAACTTTAATCAAAGTTGTTACACTTTGTACCTCATTTGACCTCTGTAAAGAAAGTTGTATAGGAGTGCTGGGAAGATGTTGTCTTCGTTCATATCCTTAACTTTCTTGCCCTTCTAACTTCCTTTTTGGAATGGTGTGACAAATGGTTCAGGCGTTACTTGCTCCTAGAAGTACATTTGAGGCCACACATTCTTGCAAGTTCTGTGTGGGGAGAGAGAAGGCAAAGGAACTAAAAAGCTTACATTATCTCAATATATCAATATGACGTTTCATTAAATATTTTATATGTAAACATGCAAATCAAGTGGTGTGTATTTTTTGGTAGAGCAGAAGCGGGGCATAAAGGAATTGACTATACTTAAAACATTTCAGAAGACCTTCCTGGGGTTTAGTAATCTTAGCCCAGATCTGGAATATGAAAAATATACTTAGGGTGTATAGTGCAGAAATCAGATGTCCTCAAGTTTTCTGTAACTAATGTGTATATGAACCATTTCCTGCTTATATCTGCTTTGTTGACATTATTAAGAAGGATTTGTTTCTTGGTATAATTAGTAGTTAAATATAATGACAGATGTTCATATGCTGTAGATTCAGGATTATGTCTGGTTCTTTTAGACTTTTGAGCAGTTTATATTTTAGACTATGCTGTAGAATCCTCTTTTTACATAATTGTTGTCTATCTGCACTGGTACTAGTCAACTGCTTGGTACCTCTTCTATCTCTTACGTAGGATCACTGGTACTACTTGTTTTATGGTATCGTTTTTATCTATCTTTCCCAGAACTTACTCCGTGTTTTAGTTTATCTCTGACTACCAAGATAAAAATAAGTTGGCTGTATCTAAATGTCTAAGTATACATATATATTACAAAAGGAACAAAATTTCCAAATGAGAATACTGCCATTTATAAAAGTCAATAAAAAGTTAAATATGCCCTCTATATACCACCATCTTTTGTATTACGGTTACTTTTTATACACTGTACATTAACCTTTCTTTTTTGAGCATAAACAGTTTGTACAAATTCAGGTTGTTCTGGTTATTATCATTCTGCCGAACTGCAATAACTGTTAGAAGGTCTTTAGGACCTCCTAGGTCTCCAGTAGGAGAGTCAAGTTGACTCTCTTTTTATCTCTCCCTTGTATTCTTGAAAACTTGTTTCCTGGTAACCGTAGAATGTTCTAGATGTTCCTTGGTTTTCCTCTGCCCCAGTTCATCTAAGTAAATGTCTTTCAAGAACTTCTGGTGTCTTTTAGTGAAAAAAACCAAGTCTGGCATTGCCTGTGGGAGTTGATTTTTGGGCAGTGAGTAGTGCTGCCCCGTTGGGTCACTCTTAAGTGTGACAGAAGTGTGACCTGTTTACTTTTAACTACGTGAGTTTACATTTTAACATATCATGTTGCCAGTTTTTCAAAAATTTACGTTTTATTGATTCTCAAAGACTGACTTTTGTATTCACATGGGATATTTTAGTGATATTTTAGATTTCATTGTATCTAATGTCTTGTGGTAAGTATTGATGTTAAGGATAAAATAATATTATTTTGACATTAGTCTGATAGGATAAAATCTTTAGGATAAAAATGGTGTAGAATGAATGAGATTTTCTTGATAAACCAAAAAATTGAGGTTCTGGTAATTAACAGAAAGTGGGTCGGATACCTGAATGATGTTTATGGTGATTTAGAATAATAAGTAACAGGTTTCTTTTTTTCTTCTTTTTTGTTTTTGGCTGAAGCCAAGTAGCAAGTAACACGTTTCTTGAGCAAGCAGAATGCTTGGTTAGATCCTATGTGGGAACCAGGGTTTTCCAGTTACGATTATAGTTGCATTGTTGCGTGCTCAGGAGCAAGAAACATCATTAGCAAAGTAACATTGCTTTCTCATGTTTAGATGTGCCTAAGATATTCGTAGGTGAGTTTATTTTGGAAAGGTTAACTATCTTTTATTATTCTAATATGTATTCTAATATTTCATTAATTTTTCCCAAAGACAAACTTTTGGGCAAGGCAGTGAACTATAGGTTTTCTTTTCCATTACTTGGCTGTCATAGGGACATAGATCTCAAGAATTGAAAGGAATCATAAAGTTTAACTCAGTTAACTTTTTTTTGTAGAAGAACTAAGTGGTCGGTGGTAAAAATGCAACTTGTTCAGTTTTTAATGTTTTCTTGATTCAGAGTAATTGTTATAAGAAGTCATTATGTTACATTGTAGATATATGCTTTAATCGTTATTTCTCAGAAAATCCATCTGGGTGCTATATATTCCTGGTACTAAATATCTGACTTGTTGAAATGTGATTTACTGTACTATTATATAACACTACCATTTTATGTTTGAAATTTCATTTAGGAAGAAAGGCTACACTTCTCTATGTATTAGCATTGACACTGCTAAAACCTCTATTTGAGTAAAGTTAGTATTAAATATTATTTCTTCAAATACGTTATTCAAATCTTATGTAATGAAAGTGCTTTTAAAATGTGTGGTATGGCTGGGATATACCATTATATAATGCTGCATTTTTTTCCACCATTGCTTAAGAGTTCTTGAAGCCAGCATAGCAGAGAATAAAGCATGTTTGAAGAGGACACCTACAGAAGTTTGGAGGGATTCTCGAAACCCTTATGATAGAAAAAGACAGGACAAAGCTCCCGTTGGGCTAAAGAATGTTGGCAATACTTGTTGGTTTAGTGCTGTTATTCAGGTAAGGATCTTTCTTTATTCAGTTCTTATTTGATGTGTATGATAGCTATGGAAAGTGAGTTGGTTGTGTTTAAGTTGTATACTTTAAGTACAGAGAAGTTTTTAATATACTCTTTAGTCTAATAAACTAGCTTGGGGATTGCCGTATCCTCCCATTCCTCTTTCTTTTTCATTTCTAGTATGTGTTTTTTAACAGTAGATCACTACTGATACCTTGCACTTATTTGGAATCAATTTATCCTTTCTTTCTGCTTTTAGGAACTGTTGGGGTGGAAATAATTTTGTATATATTTCCCTGCAAATTTATGGAAGCATTGTAATCAAGTTTGAAACCAGAGCTGGCTTTTTGTGGGTCAGATCAGATTTATTTGTATATACTAGACAATGTTGTTTATAGAATTATAGACAATATTTTTAATAAGAGGAATTTTATTTGAGGTTGGTATAGATTTGCAAATCTCAGTTTGCATATGAAATGATGTGATGAATAAATATTGATAAATTAAGAATAACACATTATCTTTTTTTACTAAGAAATCCCTCAATGATATGTTTCTTGATCTGCTTATTCTAAAATAAGAGACATATGTATGTGTAGATATCCATTGTCTTCATTGTCTTCTCAATTTGGAACCGTTTCCTTTACGTGTTAAGGACTATTATCAGAATTCTTTATCATTCTCAGTTGACATTGATAATGTTATCCATCAGATTGTAAAACTTTAAAACAATTTATGAATAATATATCCTTAATTTTTGTTACTCCTTAGGAAAGTTAACTAATATTTTGTGGTTTTTTTGTAAGGCAATTGAATTATAGCTTATTATTTCATGTTCCTGATGAATGCTTTTTACGTCACTGTACATGCATGCTATTTTTAAAGTTCAAAATGTGTCTTCGTGTTGTAACTTTCCAAAGCTGTGTGTGTGACAGCTTAAACTTTCATACGGTGTTAAGGCAACTAACAGTTTATTTGGTTCATTTTCTACAAGTTAACTGTTTTTGCTAACCTGTAATTTTAACTTTTTTTATATACTTCAGTGCTATAGTTTTCACATTTTTCTCCCTTTTTGCTTCTGGTGCGTAATATCGCATAATTTGATTTCCTTTGTTTTTCTGGATTTACCTCACTTTTTAATATGCTGTGGTGCATCCTAATAAGTAATATGCTATGCTGTTGGTTTTTGCAGGACATTAAGATGCTAAAGAATACCTGGGTTAACATAAATCTATAGTAGTATCTTTACTTCTAGCCTTGATTATACATTATTTGTTTACTTACATGCCAAAAATAATATCTAAAATGTTGATACCTTAGAGTTTCTTAGATCATCTTAATAGGCCATCTCACTTTACTTGCACTATTTATTAAGAAGGTTTGTACATGTTATAATTCAGACATAGTTTTAAAATATTAAGTGTAGTTGTAAGGCTGTGAACTGAGTGTTCATGAACATGTTTTGCTGCCTGTATTTGGTCAGGTAGATGCTGTCTCAGCGTGATTGTGACAGATACATGAGGGTCATTGATGAGAAGCTTTTCTTAGAAAAGTGTAAGAAGAAATAAAGTATTTGTAAATAATATTGTTAGAATAGTTGCTTTTTATTTCTCCATCCTGTATTTGTACGGAAGGTCTGTTTGAAATGATAGATGCTGATATAGGGATAATGACCTTTTGTTTTAGTAGAATAAACTTCTTTCAGCAGCTCAGTTTAATCTTGATACAGTCACAATCTATTTCTACCCTCAGTTTGCTAATCCTAGCTTTTCTTTTTAGCTTAGTTTTTTTTTTTTTTTTTTTTTTTTTGAGAAGGAGGGAATGGGCTAGAAAAAAATTATCTTTTAAAAAAATGCCTAGCTTATTTAAAAACTAGTAATTATACTAGTTTTAAAATTTTATCTGTTTAGTGACTGCTTAATCCTTAACATAGGCAAGTATAAGAGGGCTTGATTTATTTATTTTTCTTTGGGTGAAATCTAAACCTCTAGGAGAAGTAACCTATAAGCTTAAAAATTCAGGTTTTAATGGCCTAATAAGATAATGACTTTTCAGGAAGTAGAAAACATTAAGCATCGAACTGTAGAAAATGTTAGGCGGGGCAGGGCAGAAAAATTTGGCTAGAGATGACCTGAAGTTTTACTTTTTGTGGTAATTTTATTATTACTATTAAACTATTTTAAGTAGCTTTTAATTTTTATCTTTAGTAGAGTCTTCTTAAAAATTTTCTACCATTATTGCTTAACTCTAAAATATAAACTGAGATATAATACTTGACCATCATAAATGGACTTTTTACTTATGAATGAAAAATTGGGGCAAAAATCTACCTTAGTGTTGTAGGTTTTGTTGTTTTCCAGACTGAGTGAGTTGGAAGTTATTCAAATTGTGATGTAAATGTACTGTAAAGTTTTGATTACAGAATTTTCTCAGGGATGGAATTTACTTAGTTGGTCGGACTAATATGAAACAACTGGGAATTCTAATTCTTTTTCTTGTAAATATATTGACCAGTTATGGAAGTTTACTAGTAATATCACCCTTTAACTTCAAAGTATATAGCTGGGGTAGGCTACAACAGGTATAGATAGCTTTGCGTACTTATTATTTTAGATATTGAGACCAGTATTTTGGTAGAAAGGGGGAACAGAATGTAAGAAAGGGAATATAAACAAAGAGAAGATTATACAGGTAATGGCTTAAATAATCTTTTGGTTGCTGGCAACATTAGCCTGTCTTTAGGTTGGACATCAACCCCTCAGCTAGTCAGGATTGTTTTTGTCCTGTTCACTTGGTACTTTTATGTAGAAAGTACGGATTGCAGCTTTCCCCACTAGGGTGTCGGTGAATGAGTTGGCTATTTGGAGGTGTACGTTCTCCTCTGTAGCTCCGGGACATCTTGTTGAAGTGCTGTGGGTGCTCATGATGACCCTTAGCCCCTTAGCACCTTTCCATGTGGATGCTTCTGTGATGCCGAGAAGTAAGGTGCTTATACTTCTCAGTTTGCTTGTCGTAGTCCATTTTACTCCTCTTGTAGATCTGTTGGCACCTGTCACTTAGTCCTAAAGCCCTGCTGTGTATGATGGTAAAGTATGTGGTTACCTTGCTCATAAATCATGTAACCGCAGGCTGACTAAAATACAGGGCACCCTGTATTTTATAAATTTTACTAAAATACACCCACCCTGTGGGCAGAGAGCGCATTTAGGTTACTCTATATTAGTATATATAATACAGTGTCTGGCACATTGGAATAGTCCATCTAGTAATTATTACACGAATGGATGAATGAACCAAAAGGGAGCATGTATGGAGTATCTAAAATATTAAGTGAGGATATTTTTTAAAATGATGCATATTGTCAAAACAGGATATAATTTAAAATGCTTATTCATACTCCTTGCTTTTATCTCTTTAATTTTCATCAAAGAAAAAATCATATGGCACTAAAATGCTTAAACCTGTCTGCTTCCTAGTCCTGCCCCTTGAAAGACACCTATATCTAGTCCATTTCTTCTCTATCTTCATTTTTCTAAATGGCATGCCTTCCCACTGAGATAGGGGTTCGCTCTTTCGGTTCACCTGCCTAGAATTGCCCTTTCTTTCATCTCTCAACATAGTTATAATACAAATTAAAAATAGTAGGTAGTCAGTATTTACATTTTTTGTAACTTTATAAATATTACAGTGATTCACTAGGCCCTCCTGTCTGTAGTACTTTGTTATCCTGGTGTTGTCAATTGCTGCCTTTTTCCCCCTATTTTCTATATACTTTAATATTTTCTAAATGCTTCAACATCATTGTTATGGTCTTAGTAATATATTCTGTATGACCACACATATTAGCTTCCTTTTTTGTTTGTTTGTTTTTGGAGTTCTGTCCCACAGAACATTTCTCTATTTCAGATTTGGAGTGGATTCTGATTTTTTTTGGTTTAAGCATGATGACTCGCTTTTTAAAAGTAAGTCTAGAGAAATGGGATTGGTTGATGTGGGTATCAGTTTACATGTTTTTTACTTAATCTTGCTATTCATAGTTCTGAATCTTATCTCTCCTTTCTACCGCGACATACAGTTTTTTCTGAACCTGAGTCATTGAAGATCTCAATAGACTAAATTTCCTGTACCCCCACAGAGAGGAGGCAGTTGTCTGAATGTGCTGGGTCTGGAAAGGACATGGGGATTTAATTGTTCTGTACATAGACGTTTAGTTTCAACAATGCCATCTATTTTTCAGTCCCTGCCTCACCATGAAACTTACGTGATACCTTTCTAATTATTTTTTTAATCCTCCAAGGAGAATTTATCGTGCTTCTCAGTACTCTCCATTGTAGGCAGTTTGTGTTTCGTTTCCTCTGCACTCTTGTCATCACTGTTTTTCTTTTTCACAAAGTATTTCGACTCTTATGCTCCATTTGGTCTTTGTTATTAGCAGGAAGCTAACCAAACTTCATTTTCGAAAATGCTTTTCAAAATTCACATATTAGCTTTGGACTGAATGAAAGGATGCTGATTTTCAGGTGCATTAATCAACACTCTTTAGGCAGTAAAAGTTACCCTTTCCTACCTCTTTTGAAGGAATACATTGGACAGTACTCATATGACTTTGGTGAAGGATATAGGGTATTTGGGACTTGAAAAACTTAATTTTTATGATTTGTTGTGATGATCGATGGTGATGAGTTTCACTGGGTAATGGCAGATGAAGTTGTTTTAGACCATCTGCCTCATGATGTTTTGCGGGATTCAAAAACAAATAAAACCAACTTGTTGAGGGCATCCTGGGGTCCTAAAGCAGTGAGGAATTTTGAGTAAAGAAAGATAGTCAGAGAATGAGCTTGTTATTTTTGATGGATTTTGTCTTTTAGGCATCTCCAGAACTGACTGCTGAGTGGCTGAGGAACTAAGAAAATTTTTGCGCAAAGTTTGAGCCCTAGTAAAACATCTTAGACTTTGAATTGGATTTCTAAATGGTTAGAATGTAGCATTAACTGATAACTGAAAGTTAAGACAGGCTTCCTAGTTTCTGAATTATCTCAGAATGTATTGGATTAAGGCGACCTGAGACTGGAAGTGACTCTAGTCTACCTGCCTGCCAGAGCAAATGTAAATTCTCTCTTAGAAGATAATATTATCTGGGAACCTTTCCTTCATTTTTCATACACAATGTCTAGTACTCAGGTCAGTCATACCAGAAAATAAGATGTGTGTGAAAACTAATACAAAAAAAATGGACAATAGAAAACAGCACAGGAAAATCGGAATATGTGTCTGCCATAATAATAATTAATGTGTTCAAGGAATTAAAAGCAAGGTTGAGAGTCTGAAGAAAACTAAAAACTATAAAGAACAAAATGGAAATTTCAGAATGGAAAAATATAAATGAAACTAAGAAGTCAGTGGATAAATTTAGCAGCGTTACTAGACACAACTGAAGGGATAATTAGCCAACTGGTAAATTAATCTGGAGAGTATTTTTCAGACTAAAGCTATGACATAAAGATGGGAGCATCAAAGAGTTACTTTGGGTGTGGTGAGTAGTACTAACAGTGTATTTGTAGTTCCAGAAGGAGAGTAAAAGGAAATAGGGCAAAAGCATGTTTGAAGAGATGATTCACAATATTCCACACTTGAGAGAGATCAAGTCATAGATTCAGGAAGCAATATGAATCAAATAGTATAAACATAAAGAATACTGCACCAGAGTACATCATCATAAAACAAAAAAGTAACTATAGACAGAAATTCTAAAAGTTGCAAGGAGGAGAAAGATACACATATAAAGGAGCGAAAACAAGACTAATAGTTGACTTTGATAACTTTAAACATCAAGTCACACATCAGCAGAAATAATGTCTTTAAAGTGCTGGAAATAAATAACTGGCCATCTTGAATTTTATACCTAGCAGAAGTCTTTTAAAATGAAGAAAAACATTTCAGTCAACAGAAGCTGAAATAATTCTTGACCACCCACACCAAAGGAAGTTCTAAGTGTCCAGGAACAAGGAAAATACTCTATCTACAGTGGGAGCTCAGAGAATAGAAGTGGGATTGAGATTCTTCTAACCTGCCAGCATTCTCTTTCCTCTTTAAATTCCTCAAAAGAATAGTCCATGGTTTGTCTCCCCTACTTAAAGTACTCCCCTTATCTTTGGTTTCACTTTCTGCTGTTTCAGTTACCTGCTGTTAATTGTGGCTGAAAATATTACAGTACTGAGAGAGAGAAGGAGAGGGAGACCACATTCATATAACTTTTGTTGCAGTGTGTTTTTTACAATTGATCTATTTTATTATTATTGTTGTTAATCTCATACTGTGCCCAATTTATAAATTAAACTATCATAGGTATGCAAGGAAAAAAATCATAGTATATATGGGGTTCGGTAATATCTGCGGTTTCAGGTATTCAGAGGAGGTTTTGGAATGTATCCCTTTTGGATAAGAGGGTGCTACTCTATACCCCATTTTCCAATTATTTAATGCCTCTATTCTTCCTCTACCACTCAACTGAAAACATGACTTTCCAGTTGCCAAATCCAAAGGTTATTTCCCTGTCCTTAATTTATTGGAAGAATGTGGCAACTTTTCATGATATTGCTAATCTTGTCCTCCTTGAAATGTGCCAGCTATTTTTTGATGTACAGCAGAATCTTTTGTGGAACTTTGTATCTTTATTGAGAGTCCCCTGACATTGTTATTTTTTTTTAAATTTTTATTTATTTTTTATTATTATACTTTAAGTTCTAGGGTACATGTGCATAACGTGCAGGTTTGTTACATATGTATACTTGTGCCATGTTGCTGTGCTGCACCCATCAACTCGTCATTTACATCAGGTATAACTCCCAATGCAATCCCTCCCCCCTCCCCCCTCCCCATGATAGGCCCCGGTGTGTGATGTTCCCCTTCCCAAGTCCAAGTGATCTCATTGTTCAGTTCCCACCTATGAGTGAGAACATGCGGTGTTTGGTTTTCTGTTCTTGTGATAGTTTGCTAAGAATGATGGTTTCCAGCTGCATCCATGTCCCTACAAAGGACACAAACTCATCCTTTTTTATGGCTGCATAGTATTCCATGGTGTATATGTGCCACATTTTCTTAATCCAGTCTGTCACTGATGGACATTTGGGTTGATTCCAAGTCTTTGCTATTGTGAATAGTGCCGCAGTAAACATACGTGTGCATGTGTCTTTATAGCAGCATGATTTATAATCCTTTGGGTGTATACCCAGTAATGGGATGGCTGGGTCATATGGTACTGGTACCAAAACAGAGATATAGACCAATGGAACAGAACAGAGTCCTCAGAAATAATACCACACATCTACAGCCATCTGATCTTTGACAAACCTGAGAGAAACAAGAAATGAGGAAAGGATTCCCTATTTAATAAATGGTGCTGGGAAAATTGGCTAGCCATAAGCAGAAAGCTGAAACTGGATCCTTTCCTTACTCCTTATACGAAAATTAATTCAAGATGGATTAGAGACTTAAATGCTAGACCTAATACCGTAAAAACCCTAGAGGAAAACCTAGGTAGTACCATTCAGGACATAGGCATGGGCAAAGACTTCATGTCTAAAACACCAAAAGCAACGGCAGCAAAAGCCAAAATTGACATTGTTATTTTTTAAAGCTCCACAATTTATTCAGATCCACAAGTATGTTTGAAAGCCTTTGTTTTCTCCACTCCTTTTTCTTCTGTGATTTCCCTTAGTATACCTTTCTCTTTCTCAACATTTTTTTTTTTTTTCTTGTGACTTTTAAATGGTGCTTTCTCCCCAAGGTTCTGATCTTGGCCAACTGTTAATGTATTCATATCCCTTCTGGTTTGTTACTTCTACTGTTATTGTTTTAATCAGCAGTCACAAGACTGTAATCCCTACAATGGCAGAGACTACCTTCTTAGTGTCTGTCATATAGTAGATGTTCCATAAATATTTGTTAAATGAATGAATAAATGATTTATGTGCTTATATTGTTTTATCTTTCTAGATCACAAGATAAAATATTTTTTTACAATTTCTGTTACCAGCTTTATGGTTTTACCTTTCATATTTAGGCTGTTAATTGATCTATGTAATCTGGCTCTATTTCTTTATATGTAGTTTTCTCAGTACCCAACTGTTGATCAAAAGCTTATTTTCTCATTGATTTGTGGTGCCACCTTTATCTTCTGTCGAGTTGACTGACTCACATTTTCTAAGATTTAATACATTATTACTTCCTGTATAGTAATTTTCAAACTTTATAAACTGTGACCCAAGAAAGGAAATACTGTATATTACAAAACATTTTACACATACACAAGTTTGTAAAATATCTACAATGAAAGTTTTGCAAGAAAATACTCTGATGAATTTACTGAGTATGATACATTGTGATTTTTTCCATTGTATTTTATCACATTTTAAACAAATGTTCAGCATGATGACAGTAAATGGTTGCAAACTACAGTTTAAAAAAGATACTCCAGGAAGCCTTTCTATGAGCATCCATCATATGCTCCATTATATTCTTGTGTAATTATTATCACTGCATCTTGAAGTCACGACATTTCTATTATACATCTGTCTCCGTTCTAAATTGTGTATTTCCTTGAGCATTGAGATAATATGTAATTTCTTTGTGTCTCTATCACCTAGGATCTGGTGAATAAATTTATTTGTACTACATTTTTCTAGAATTAATGATACATCTAGATAATTCATGGTAAACATAGCACATCTAAAAAATTTTGGACTTGACATTTGCATACTCTTTCTTTTGAGGAAACTGCTTAAGTGCGTATAAAGAGAGCTATTAATAACGAGTAGTATTTTCAAAAGGTTGTCCAAATATTATCTTGTGCACCATCAAGTATCAAGAATAGTATGTCAAATATAAGAAATTTGACTTTTTCTTAGAAATGTGGCCTCCTTGTGCCAGTTGCAATGATTCTGAGTATAAGTAGTACACAGTTGTCAAAAATAAATCTCTAAACCAGTTATTTTTACATTCTGCTAATGGAATTTTCTCTCAGGTTATCTTCAATTGTTATTCTTTTTCAGTCATTATTTAATCTTTTGGAATTTAGAAGATTAGTTCTGAATTACAAGCCTCCATCAAATGCTCAAGATTTACCCCGAAACCAAAAGGTAAAATGTAAAAGATTTGTTTTTTTTAACAGTATATATAGTCTATATGTTCTCTCATATGTGATTGATTTTTGGGCATTTACTTGGCTCATCAAATCGGAAACTGTCAATTTGAGTGTCAATTCATTAATCTCAGTTACCACAGCAACTTCTTATCCTTTGTTAATATATTATAAATATGACTTTTTTTCTTTACCTGTCACAGTAATATGCCAATTTTTGGTGTCACTTTAGTAATTTTTTTGGGGGGACTGTCACATTTCAGTAAACTTTATAGGCTATAGTTTACAATATAAGGTCTTTCCTCAATTGTCTCCTGAAAAATTTTGTGGAAATAGAAATTTCTTTTCAGTTGATTGTCTTGTGGAGCCCTTTAAAAATGAGTTTTGCATTCATGTCTTTGCAGTACAAATGTGTATCTTTCATTTTGGAAGTGACTATCGTAGATAGGTAGTATAAAGTGAACAAAGAGCACACACACCAGGGCCAGATTGCCTGGGTTCTAGCTATGGACCTAGAGCTAGTTACTTGATTTCTCTCTATTCCATTTCCTATCTGTAAAGCATAAATAATAATAGTAATTATTTCATAGAGTTGCTATGAGCATTAAATGAGGTAAAACATGTAAGGGGCTTAAAAGTGCTTGGTACATAGTAAGAACTAGGTGTCAGCTATTGTCAGTTAAACAATAAAATAAAGTTTTTAAAAAATAAGACTTATTTAGGGCCAGGCGCGGTGGCTCACACCTGTAATCCCAGCAGTTTGGGAGGCCGAGGCGAGCGGATCACGAGGTCAGGAGATTGAGATCATCCTGGCTAACACGGTGAAACCCCATCTCTACTAAAAGTACAAAAAATTAGCCAGGCGTGGTGACGGGCGCCTGTAGTCCCAGCTACTTGGGAGGCTGAGGCAGGAGAATGGCGTGAGCCCGGGAGACGGAGCTTGCAGTGAGCTGAGATCGCGCCACTGCACTCTAGCCTGGGCGACAGAGCGAGACTCTGTCTCAAAAAAAATAAATAAATAAAATAAGACTTATTTTAAAAAGAACCAGTTTGCACACAGAATTTATACCTAATGGAAAAAATTACTTACAGAGATGATATAGTTGCGTGTAGGACTTTAGTGGTTGATCTTGTCATAAACAATCTGTAGTCCTAAAGTGGACTTGTTGCCAAGACAGGGGAGTTAGTTTTAGGTTTCAGTATACTGCTGAACTTTTTGTGACCTATTGTTAGTAGGAGTGATGAATTATTAAATTATGTTTTCCTTTTAGCGTTTAATTTTTAAAACCACTTTTTCTGTAAACACGTAAAACATTTATAATGCATGCTAGTGGGATGAGAACTTGATTTATAACCAGCTTTTCAGGTTATAATCTCTGTGCTGTATAGTGTCAGGCTGATAAACAACCCATTTTCAAAAGGGAGTCAGGATCACTCGACAAACTCGTGTGTCTCCAGAAAAATTAAGGAAAACCCTTTCAATTGTTAACGGTTTTTACATGGAACTTTTTGAACTATTGCCTCTACTATTGCAGTTTGTTAACATCACAGTTCTTCTCTCTTCTCATATCTCAAAGTCTATGTATAATTTGTGTGAAACTGTTTAGAATTATCATTTCTAGTTACGTATTTATGTATGTATATGTGTCTTGACCATTTATAGTCCTGGATTTTAATGTTTTACAGAGCTTTATTTTCTTTTGTTCTTCACAGAGTTGAATAAGGCTGTGTTAGTTTGTACTCTTATTTTAAAAACAGTTGTTATATTTATGCTTATATATCAGAAGGAGTTGTGAATACTAGAGAAATGTGTAATTCCAATCTTCAGCACCTTTCTAGACAAGTTTGTTTCTTGCAATGGGTTAGCCTCTCCAGGTGTCCCTTTAGCTTAAGGAAATAAAATAATTTCTCACTTCCATTCTGAGACAATTACGTAGAATATGCAATTTTGTATAAGATTATTCCACAGAAGTGACTCTCCTTTAGTTTAGTAGAGTGACAGCAGTTCACACTATACCTTGACATCTTTGAAGCAAATGTGGGATTTATAGGTAGTTATCAGCCATTGAATGGTCCTATATTCATTTGAGATGGTGACAGCAGGTTTTTAAGAAAAGGTATCAGTGTAACTTATCAATTATTTAATAATGAATTTACCTCTAACTGGTGACGTGTCTACAGCTACATTCAATTTGAACACTTTGTGTTAAATTGCAGAATACATTTGGGATTACTTTGATCACATCACAGAAATGCCATTTGTATACACTTTTAAACAGGATATTTTTTACTGGCAGAATTTGCCACAAGTATTACATACATATTGGGTGAGATTTGAAAGAAATACAGTATTTGAAATTAGTTTGTATTTTAAGTAGACTTGGCAATTGCTTGTAGAAATTGAAACTAATTTTAGACACTCATATTTATTTGAACTGTTTGTAATTTCAGTGTCTAGGAGAATTGTGAGGTCTCTAGAAGTACAATAATAGATCCTTGATGTAATCATCCCGCCTCCCCTCACACAGATATATATTTGGCTTAAAATGTTTCAAACTGATGGCAAAACATATTAAATGTTGAGAAAACAAAGATGCACATGTATAGTATTTAGTGGAAATCATCATATAAATAGCTAAAGCCTTATTAATTGGAAGGTTATATTATTTAAAGCCTTGATTTAAGACAAATATTTCAAAATAAATAAATTTCTCACTTTCCACTACTTAAAGCGAATGTCATCAGAAGGAAATGGGTTTAGTTGAGTACCATACTGTATTCCTGGACCAAATACTTGAAGGAATTTTGAATTTTACAAATAAAAAAGGCATACTGAGATTTCTGCCATTAGTCATGAAGAAGTGACAGGAACTGGATTTATAAGTCTCAGTACATTTTAAAGAATTCAGATCATACAGAATACCTTTTCTGAGGAAAATGGTAGAAATCAACAACAGAAGGATATACAGAAAATTCCCAGATAGTTGGAAGTGAAGTAGTTCACCTCTGAATATCCCAAGGGATAAAGAACAAATCAAATGAGTAATTTCAGAATATTCTGAGCTGAATGAAAATTAAAACATGACATATCAAAATTTGAGGGATGAAGCTAAAACAGTGATTAGTTGAAGATATCTTATTAGAGACTATCGGGGGAAACCCCACCCCTGATATTTAACGTGGGTTCTTTTCTATTTCCCTAAGCGTTTTAACTGGCCTGAGAAATAAAGGGAAAGAGTACAAAAGAGAAAAGTTTTAAAACTGGGTGTCTGGGGGAGACATCACATGTTGGCAAGTTCCGTGATGCTCCTCAAGCCGTAAAACCAGCAAGTTTTTGTTAGCGATTTTCAGAAGGGGAGGGAGTGCATGAATAGGGTGTGGGTCACAGAGATCACATTCTTCACAGGGTAATAGAATATCACAAAGCAAGTGGAGGCAGGGCGAGATCATAGGACCACAGGATGGGGCGAAATTAAAATTGCTAATGAAGTTTCGGGCACACATTGTCATTGATAACATCAAGAGACAGGGTTTGAGAGCAGACAACCTGTCTGACCAAAATTTATTAGGCAGGAATTTCCTTGTCCTAATAAGGCTAGGAGCATTACAGGAGGCCAGGGCTTATTTCATCCCTTCAGCTTCGACTGTAAAAGACACCGCCCTGATGAGGGGGGGCCATTCATAGGCCTACCCTCATGGGACGCATTCTCTTTCTCAGGGATGTTCCTTGCTGAGAAAAAGAATTCAGCGATATTTCTCCTATTTGCCTTTGACAGAAGAGAAACATGGCTCTGTTCTGTCTGGCTCACTGGCAGTCAGACTCCAAAGTCTTATCTCCCTTGTTCCCTGAAGATTGCTGTTATCCTGTTCTTTTTTCAAGGTGCCCAGGTTTCATATTGTTCGAGCACACATGCTCTACAAACAATTTGTGCAGTTAACACAATCATCACAGGGTCCTGAGGCATACATCATCGTCAGCTTACGAAGATGATGGGATGAAGAGATTAAAGTAAAGACAGCATAGGAAATCACAAGGGTATTGATTGGGGAAGTGATAAGTGTCCATGAAATCTTCACAGTTTATGTTCAGAGACTGCAGTAAAGACAGGCGTAAGAAATTATAAAAGTATTAATTTGGGGAACTAATGTCCATGAAATCTTCACAATTTGTGTTCTTCTGCCGCGGCTTCAGCTGGTCCCTCCGTTTGGGGTCCCTGACTTCCTGCAACAAGAGACATCTTACCAGACATCTTATTAGAAAAGAAGAATGGTTTTCAATTAATGATAGCAGCTTGCATATCAAGACATTAGAGAATAAAGGTCCCATTAATCTCAAAGCAGAAGTAAGGAAATAATAAAGATAATAGCAGAAATCCATGAACCAAATATCAGAAAAACAATACAGAAAGTTATGGAACCAAAAGCTGCTTCTTGAGAAGATTGGTGAAATTGGTGAACTTCTAGGTAAACTAAGCAAGAAAGTAGAGGGAAGACATCTGTTACAAATATAAGGAGTGAAAAAGGGAAACGTCACTACATATTCTATAGACAGTAAAAGGAGAATAGTGGAATATCGTAAACAACAGACAAGTGACTTGAAAGTCACAAGCTATCAAAGCTCACTGATGAAGAAATAGATAACCTGTGGTAGCCCTACATTATATTAAAGGAACTGGAACCCATCCACCAAAAAATTCAACAGCTGAATGTTTTACTTGTAAATTATATTAAGCATTTAAAGAACAAATGATAACAATTCCCTATACATTTGTGCAGATACTTAAGAAGTAAAACTTCCCAACTCGTTTTGTGAGCTAAGCATTACCCTGAAATGAAGAGTAGGAAAATACATTTCAAGAAAAGAAAACCACACACCATTATTTCTCATGAATTTGGAAGCAAAGAATTGTAGCAAATTTTTGAGAAATTAAATCCTGCAATTATATATAAAGGATAATACCTCATAGAGAAGTGGGGCTTACCCAGGAATACAAAATTGGTTTAGCCTTCAAAAATAAATCACTGTAATTCACCATATCAACAGACTAAAGAAGAAAAACCATATTATCATCTCTGTAGATGAAGAAAAATGATTTGACCAAAGCTAAAATCTCATTTATGGTAAAATCTTGTAGAAACTAGGAAGCAATTTACTTTTCAAATATGCTTCTCAGAATTCCCCTAATTTCCAAAAAATTATTACTTCCAACTTTGTTACTGGGAATGTCTCAAAAAACTGCATTGACTTAGGTGCAGTGATAAAGAAACTGATCTCAGGAAATTAAGGGTACTCATGGAAGTAACTTTGTGGATTAAAGCTCATAGTTTTTATACTTTTAAAACCTGTTTCTGTAGGGTATATTTGGAACCAGTTTTATTCCCTCTTACCTATTTCTTAGGACTCTTTTTTGGAATATATTCTAGAAGCAGTTCTTTCTATGTCGATTTTATTATTCTGGGCAGCAACTATGTAAAGATACACCCCCATCCCAGACCCCTAGAATTTTACAATGTTAAGAATGCCAACTATGTAAATTTGGAAGAAAATTTTCATATTTAATATCTAAATTTTATCCATTAGAATTGTTATTGCAAGAACTAAATATTATAAGAATGGCTTGCCTGGTTTGTTGCCATGAAACATTTCACTAAGTTTTGTGAATTACGTTATTTTTTAAAGTTTCCTTCTTGTTTTAAATTAAATTGTTAGTGATTGGTAATGTGAGTTGTTTTAATTTTTTCTGGAGATTTTGCTTTAATGAACCATTGAGAATTGAATGCTTGCTTTGTGTAGTAAAAACTTGTGGAAGAGATATAGAAATTCTTGTCTTTGAGAATCTTATAGTCTTATTGAGAAACAAAAGTAAGATTTCAAAGGACTATTAGGAGGGTGATATATTAGTCTCCTATTAGGATCTGGTCTAATTATTAAATTAATATAATTAAATTTAAGTATTGTGATTGAATTATATTAAATATAATGTTGGGTAACTTAAAGTAGATATAAAATAAATGAGTATAAAGTAATTTATAAGTACTTTTTATTAAATAAATAAATAATTATTAAATTTCTAATGTTAACAATTGGATGAGGTTCTAGTATTAGTCTAATAATTAAGATTGTCACACCACAGTGACAGTCAGTGGTTCATTGCTCAGTGAAAGGCATTCATTTCAGTAGATGTGGAATTTGAAGGTATCGTTGACTTGGAGAAGTCTGGAAAGACTTCATGGAGGAGTAGAGATTTTTGCTTAAATGGGTTTATTGAGATAAAGCACTTAGAACAGTGCCTGGCATGCAGTTATTGCTCTCAGCAGCAGCAGCTGGGCCTTGCTGAATGGGAAGTATTATAATAAGCAGTCTTGAATGAGGAAGATATTCTGGGCTGAGTAATGACATGATTTGCTGTGAATATGTGGCGTTCATCTGAAATTGTGAGCCTATCCTAGGTCTTCTGCCTTTTTTGTGCTTGACTTCTTTGAGTCTCTTAGATGGCACCAACACTCTACTTTCTTCAATTATGAAAGAGTGCTAATTCATCCCTAATCTATATTGGCTAGTTTAATTTTTGGTTACTGTTAAAATGCATATCTATTTACTAGTAAAAATTTTCTTAATCTTCAGTTAAGGTTTTTTTTTCCTTCAATAGGAACATCGGAATTTGCCTTTTATGCGTGAGCTGAGGTATCTATTTGCACTTCTTGTTGGTACCAAAAGGAAGTATGTTGATCCATCAAGAGCAGTTGAAATTCTTAAGGATGCTTTCAAATCAAATGACTCACAGCAGGTAGTTTTTTGCACTTACTTGTTTATTAACCATTTGTATTTTATTTAATCCGAATAATATTAAGCAGCTTTCCCCAGAATATGAGACTTTTTAAGATGCATGATACTGCTTTATTAAAAATAACCTGGAACCATTTAAAACATTTGGGAGACTTACTTTTAAAGAAAAGTGATCTTGAAGGTGTTAAAATAAAGTTTTAATTTATATTATGATTGAAATGAGAACGATGGATAAAATTAAGATTATTTACAAATACATAATTAAACATCTTCACAAATGTGTGATAACAGAGGATCATTATAGTACACATGCTTTTGATATTCCTGTGTTTGCTGGCAGGGAGTACTTTTCCGTAATTACCCAGAAATGGTTTTTGAAATACATTATCTTTGTTATTGTTGCTTTTGTCTTTTATTGTTTATATAGTGTATTGTAGATTTTTATCCATTACCTTAAAAGCATATTGGTAATTTTCTTACAAAATATCTATAAACAAACCAGTATTTTCACATATAATTGGAAAAATCAGAGAAATTAAAGAAGGAAAACAGAGGAACAAATACAGTGGCAAATAATAGTAAGTGTTCAAAAAGATGGCATCAAGCATGTACTGGCAGAAGCTTCAAAAAGCCACTAAGCTTTCAGTATTGTTTTTCAAAGTACATACTTGGATGTGTCTCTGTTTTTTGGATGTATGGAGAGGGCGTTTGGAAGAGGAGGGTCGGAGACTCTGTCACCATTTTCCTTGTGCTTTTTCTTTCTGTTTTAAATTTACCTTTTATGGCAAATGTGAATGAACAGAAAGGGCACTCAGAGTTTCTTTTATATGTTGTTTCATTTTTTAAAACATTCTAACAATGCTCCTGTGCCTTTTAGGCTTAGTATCTACTCAGCTTTGTTTCTTACTCGCTCTGTCATGATAACACTAACACAAATCAAAAGAAAGAAAAATAATTTTACAGTTGATCCCAAACCAACATTTTAGGGCATTTGGCATTCCTTCTGGTTCTAAATGCGTTTTACTTTTTTTTTTTTCTTTTTTAGTATGCATACTATCTTTTCCAGTGACTCTGAATATACAATTAAATTTTTAAAAAAATTACTTCTGTTCTCAGACTTACCTTTCTTTCTGGATGGCTTTTTCCCATGTATCTTTCTTTCTTTTTCTTTCTTTCTCTCTCTCTCTTCCTTCCTTCCTTCCTTCCTTCCTTCTTCCTTCCTTCCTTCCTTCCTTCCTTCTTTCTTTCTTTCCTTCTTTCTCTCTTTCTTTCTCTCTTTCTGTCTTTCTTTCTCTCTCTCTCTCTCTCTCTCTCTCTCTTTCTTTCTTTCTTTCTTTCTTCTTTCTTTCCTAGTGATTCATGCTGATTTTGGGGTATCTTTTCTTCTTTCTTTCCTAGTGATTCATGCTGATTTTGGGGTATCTTTTCTCTTTTAAAGATGAGGCAGCATAGACTTCATTTGGAGCCATATATGTACATAGGTGGGCTTTTCAGTTACAGTTGAAATGGATACAACTGGCTGTTAAGGCCACAATATAAATGCTTTTGCTTCAGACTAGCAGTGTAGACTAACTTTTGAAATTAGTGATTCTTTTTCTTTAGAGGACTTTTAAGGTGGATGTATATCAATTAAGGTTGATAAGTTTGATTCTCTTCTGTTCCCTAAACACTTGAATTTGAAGTCTATGCTAGTAATTTAGTGAATCTGTAAATGTAAGCATCATGATTTTTTTAAAAGTGAATTTATATTTTCATTGTATCTTCTTCCTAAATATTTCAAATATATCATCTTTTGAAGTGCACAAGAGTCTTTTGGGATACCCTTTGATATGTGATACTGTTCGTTTTTTCTTTTTCTTTTCCATTTTTGTGTTTTTGGAGACACGGTTTTGTTTTGTCACCCAGGCTGGTATACAGTGTCATACAGTGTCATACAGTGTCATACAGGTATGACAAATGGCTCATTGCAACATCAGCCCCCTGGGCTCAAGCCTTCCCCATGCCTCAGTCTCCTAAGTAGCTGAGACCACAGGCACATGCCGCTGTGCCTGGCAAATAATTGTATTTTATTTTTATAGGGACAGGATCTCCCTATGTTGCCAGGCCTGGTCTTGAACTCCTGGGCTCAAGCTGTCCTCCCTCTTTGGCCTCCCAAAGTGGTAGGATTATAGACGTGAACCACCACACTTGGCCCTGATTGATACTGTCAGTTTTAATCATACCCTTAATTGTTTCAGCTTAAAACTAAGCATCAGTGAAGACTTCATTATTTTTTTTTCTCTTGATGGATGCAGGTAGAATTTTTATTTTATAATTGTCAATTTTAGATTGATTTCTAAGGAAGATAGGGATTAACTTCTGAAAAATATTGTGATAGCTAGGAAACCTTCTTATTTTTTGTTAGATATAACCTTTAAGTGAATTAAAGTTATACAAAAGTATGAAAAGTTGTTTTAAGATGTTGCAGTAGTTCCTGAGGACAGTCGTAACAAATTGCAACGGACGGAGTGGTTAAAAACAAAAGATTATGCTCCACCAGTTCTAGAGGGCAGAGGTCTAGAATAAAGGTGTTGGCAGGGCCTCACTTCCTCCAGTGGCTCTAGGGGAGAATCCTCCTTTGCTTCCACCGTATTCTGGTGACTGTTGGTGTTTCTTGGCTTGAGGCAGCACAGCTCCAATCCCTGTCTCCCTCTTCGTATGGCTTTCCCTCATGTGTCTGTCTATCTGCTGGTTTTCTGTTTCTTATAAGAACACTCACCGTTGGATTTAGCCCCAGCCCTAATCCGGGCTGATCTCATCTCAAGATCCTTACCTTAATTATATTGACAAAGATCATTCCAAATAGTGTCACCTTTTGAGGGTCTAGGTGGACATACATCTTTGCGGGCTACTATTCAACCCACCGTAGGTATTATGAATGTTTACAGCTAGATTTTTGTGTTGTGTTTAGTCCTATTTGACTCTGCAGCTTTGGAGCAATTTACTTAAGCTTTCCAGACTTTAGTTTCAACATTTTTTTAAGGTTAATAAGTTGGCCTACATGCTCTTTAAGAAACTTCTGGCTGAAAAAATGTATGATAGTAAGTTTGTTTTATATTTGGGGCTATTTTGATAAGGGCAAATTGCTTACTACTGATTCATCTGTCTTTAAGCAGCCTTAGTAGAGTTGATTTATTGCTTTTTCCCTTGTGTTCTATTTATTATTTTCTGTGTTCTAACTCACATTATTGAAAGAATTATGGTAGTTGATAACACAACTGCTACAACCTATTCCTGTTTTTCTATGTTGGAAGAGCAGAGATCAAAGGAATGGTGAAAGGTGATAAATGAGCTGGTTCTGAATGATAATAAAGGTAGATATGGCTTGAAAAGTTGTGTGTGTAAGTTGAATTAAGAAGATGAATTGTGGAAAGTGACTAGTCTTCCTTGTAAGAGAGAAGCCAGTAATAATTCTTTATAAAATAAAGAACTGTTTGGTAAGATGATTTCTTCATTTTATAAAGATTCATTACAGAGCTCTTCAGGTGGTGAGTAATGATTATTTTTTAAAAATCTCATTTGTAAGTTTGGTTTTTGGGGGGGGGGTGTGTGTGTGTTTGTGTGTGTGTGTGTATTTTAGAGTGAACCCAATCATTGAATATCAATATAATGCTTGGTTTTTCAAATATATCCTGGTTAAATGATAAAAGTTTCTTGTATTTTGTGTGAAACATTTCACTTGTTATCTTTGCAAGAAGTTAGTGATCATATATTTCAGTAACTGGCTCTAGGTTTGATGTTATAACATCTAGTATTTTTTTTTTAGTAGGCTCAAATATCAACAGGCTTTTTTCTTTTCACAGCAAGATGTGAGTGAGTTTACACACAAATTATTAGATTGGTTAGAAGATGCCTTCCAAATGAAAGCTGAAGAGGAGACGTAAGTTACCATGAAGTTTAGCAGTGGGGTTTTAGGAATTCATTAGATAGCATGTATTTAATGTCAATGGAGAAATAAGAAATCAAGACAGACTTATGGAAATCCCAATATTTTCTGTATTATTGACAAGCTGTTTGGAATTTGCAGGCACAAATAATGATCTAACCAAAAAAATCTAAAAAGTGGTCCCTGAAAGTGCTAGTCTTACATGCCCAGTTCCTTTTCTTAGATTCAGTAATCACTTTTCATGAGGAGGAATGAATTTGTGGTGGAGAAAGATGTCAGGAATGTGAATTGTGACAAAATCCTTTTGTGTAGAAGCAGGAAGACAGGGATATGAAGTAGCAGTGCATGTGAACAAGTGGCTCTGTTCATCTGTTCACTCAGGGCCCCAAGGTCACCTAGGTGTCTGGGATCTTGCTGGCAGTGAAAATTATACTGTGTCTCCAAGTTTCTGCCCAGAAGTGACACACATCACTTCTGCTCACATTTTGTTGGACAGAGCTATGTCGCCTAACTTCAAAATGAGTAGGAATTTCTCACACTAATGAGGATGGTGGCTATGAAAAAAACAACCCCCCAACCCCCACTACCCCAAGAACATAACAAGGGTTGGCAAGGATGTGGAGAAATTGAAACCCTTGTGCCGTGTTGATGAGGATATAAAATGGTACAGCCACTGTGGAAAACAGTATGGGGGTTTCTTAAAAGATTAAAAATATAATCATCATATGATCCAGCAATTCTACTTCTTGGTGTCTATCCAAAAGAATTGAAAGCAGGGTTTCAAAGAGATATTTGTACACCTGTGTTCATAGCAACATTATTCACAATAGCCAAAAGGTGGAAGTATACCAAATGTCCATTGATAGGTGAATGGATAAACAAAATGTTCTGTATATATGTACAGTGGAATATTGTTCATCCTGAAAAGCACAGAAGTTGTGACACATGCTGTAACGTGACCCCTTGAAGATACTATGCCCAGTGAAATAAGCCAGTCACAAAAGGACAAATACTATAAATCACTTATGTGAGGTATCGAGAGTTATCAAACACGTAGCAATAGAAAGTAGAATGGTGGTTGCCAGAGGCTGGGGGGAGGGGGAGATGGGGAGTTGTTTAATGCATATAGAGTTTCAGTTTTGCAAGAGGAAAAGAATTCTGAGATTCCTTGCACAACAGTGTGAAGCTACTTAACGCTACCGAACTGTGCAGTTAAAGGGTTATGTACATTTTATCACAGTTTTAAGAAGCGAGTAGGACAGTGTACCTTACCGTGTGCCTGGACGTGAAGGGCCAGAATTTTTTCAGTAGCACTAAAGACTACTACACTACCTACTGGGGTTCTTGTAAGAATTAAGAGAAGTACTTATCAACATTATTCTAAGGATTAAATAATGACCTATTTATCAAGAGAGATGGTATCCCCTCCCTTTTTAAACAATACTTAACAAATCAATTAATATAAACACAAATTAATACAGAAAAATCTGTATACAACTGTAGATACAGTGCATTTCTATATGGTAAGGCCAAGATGAACTTTGTCTTTTTAGGTCACACAAACCATAAAAAGACAGTTTAAAATTATCAATTTGTTTGCTTCAAACAGAAAAAAAAAATGAATTTTTATATTAAATGACTTGGAAACTATGTAAACGACTAATTCTACCAGCAGTGTGAAACTTCACAAAAGGATGGAGTAGCTCTTTAGCTACTCTGGGTCAAAAACTGGTACCTTGTTCCCTCCCTGGTGAGGTTGTTGTTTTTGGATTATTTGGACTCTTCCATGTAAATACAGGAAATAACTTAGCAAAATTTGTAGAAATCTATTCTGATTAAAAGTGGCTTTTCTTCCTTCCCATGTCCAAAATAACATGCACTACACAGAGTAAGAGATTGAAATGTATAATGATAGAGCAGGCACTTTGTGCACAGACTGTGTCAATTTCTCTTCCAAGTTCATACATGTAGTGCTCATTTTAACTCTTATGAGAATCCTGTGAGTGCAACTATCATCATTATCCTCAGTTGACAGGTGAAGAAACGGGAGAATAAATTTAAGTACCTTGCGCAAGGTGACGCTGTAAATAACAGAGCTCAATGCAAGTGCATGATAGCCACAGACGTGTTTTTGTCTTGTCATATACTATGGTTCTTTTAATATTTTCTCTATAGGTCCAAAAATTGTAATCACATTTATATTTTTTAACACTCTAGGGATGAAGAGAAGCCAAAGAACCCCATGGTAGAGTTGTTCTATGGAAGATTCCTAGCCGTGGGAGTACTTGAAGGTATAGTTACACATTTACTTTTTATTACAAGTGAAGAGAGATTATTATTCATTCGTTCATTTGTCTCGATAGTTACTATGATTTTAGTGGACTTTGATATATTCTGTCTAGTAATTTTTGTTGGATTGCTGCTGTTATTCGCATATGGCACAGAGTTGAATGAATGAAAAGGAATGTGTAGAGTGCATTATCACATACTAATTGATACTTTATTTTATCCTCATGTTTTTTCCAGTGAGAGGGCTTCTGTGATACTGTTACATTGGAATCAGGGATTAATGGGACAGTTGGGAGATCCTTTGAAGATAATATTGGAGTTAAATACTGGGCTTGCTATGATGCTCACTTTCTTTTTCACGTTGAAAGCTGAATTTAGCAACTTAGCGTAGTCAGGGTGGTATAGAGTTCTCACTTTTTGAGTGATTTTAAATGTAGATATTAATTTTCAGGAAAAAATTATAGTCTATCTTTTGAAAAATCAGTTAAGAGTGATACTACTCCATTTAAGCTAAATACCTGTTTCTTAAAATGTGGCCTAACTAGTTTCTGTTTGGTTTTCCTAACAAGGCAGGAGACTGTCTTTAAATGTAACTTCATGTAATAATATTAGTCCCAAAGCATAAACTTGAAAAATTGTTTTTCTCAAATCACCCAATGCATCAACTTTTGAAAGTTACCTTTTTCCAGATGAGCTAAAGTGTAAAATTTGAAAAAATGTTTTTTCTTCACGACGTTAAGTAGTGGATTCCCTGAAGTTTTGTTTGAACGTAGGTGGTTTGGGATTCAGAAAAAGGCAGATACGAACTCAGATGTTGACGCTTTAAAAAGTCTTAGTGAAGTGTTCATACATTTCTGTTTGTTTCGAATGGTAACAGCTTATATATAAGTTGTTATATATATACACATATATATGAGTTAATATATACATTTATATATAGAAGTAGAATATTTTACATAGTACATTTACGTTGGGTCATTCATCTTAATCATTCTGATTTGAAGTAGAACACTGTATCTGATACAGCTAGTATGTCTGATCAGGTCGTGACTAGGCACTGTTTGTAATACCCTGCAGGAGCATTTCTACCTGTATTATATTGATTCCTAAAATTGATTGTTATTAAAATACTTAATTTGTCGGCTGGGCGTGGTGGCTCACGCATGTAATCTCAGCACTTTGGGAGGCCGAGGCGGGCTGATCACGAGGTCGGCAGATCAAGACCATCCTGGCTAACATGGTGAAACCCCGTCTCTACTAAAAATACAATTTCCTGCCTCTGTGGGTACTTCTAAGAAAAGTTGTATTTATAGTCTCTTTTTGCATATAAAGGTAGCAGAACCTTAGGACTTTGTTTAGGCCCATTTTTTCTTCCTGTCTCATCCCCGAGGCATCTCATTCACTGCCTTAATTTGCTGCTGTCAATAAGCCAGCAATTCTATCTTTATTCCAGAATATTAATCTTAGTTATGGACTCATAGTCAACTCTCTTCTCAAATTGAAATCTCGTGGGTCATAATGAACCAATGATTTCCACTGCTACCTCAAAACTAAAGAAAAAAAAATCCTTTGTTCTTACTTAAGTAGTGCCATTTTCAGTCCATAATCTGCCAGGCATGATGGTTCATGCCTGTAATCCCAGCACTTTGGGAGGCTGAAGCAGATGGATCACTTGAGGTCAGGAGTTTGAGACCAGCCTGGCCAACATGGTGAAACCCGTCTCTACTGAAAATGCAAAAATTAGTCGGCTGTGGTGGTGGGCGCCTGTAGTCCCAGCTACTAGAGACGCTGAGGCAGGAGAATTGCTGGAACTCGGGAGGCAGAGTTTGCAATGAGCAGGGATCATACCACTGAACTCCAGACTGGGCGACAGAGCGAGGCTCTGTCTCAAAAAATAAAATAAATAATAGTAATCATCATCATCATCTAGTTGTTCAAAAAAATAAAATAAATCGTAATCATCATCATCATCTAGTTGTTCATGCCAGAATTCTGTCATTCTTGATATTTTCCTTCTTATCTGTCTCTTATCCTTCTTACAAACCCCTCAGTCAAGTCCTGTTGGTGCTCCTCCTTGTATATATGTATAAATGTATATATTATCTCTTTTGTGTATTTTTACTTTTAACAATCTTAATCCATGCTACCTTTATTTCTGGATGGATTCTGCAATAGGCTTTTAACAGATGACCACCTAGTTCACACAGGGACTTTAAAGGTGTTTCAGTTTTCATGCTGCTGATAAAGACATACCTGAGACTGAGCAATTTACCAAAGAAAGAGGTTTAATGGACTCACAGTTTCACGTGGCTGGGAAGGCCTAACAATCATGGCAGAAGGTGAAGAGCATGTCTCGCTTGGTGGCAGACAAGAGAACAAGAGCCAAGCCAAAGGGGAAACCCCTTATAAAACCATTAGATCTCATGAGGCTTATTCACTACCACGAGAACTGTATGGGGGAAACTGCCCCCATGATTCAGTTATCTCCTGCTGAATCCCTCCCACAATACAGGAGAATTATGGGAGCTACAATTTAAGATGAGATTTGAGTGGGGACACAGCCAAACCATATCAATGAGTGCATTATATGCAGAATGTGGTGTGGAAAAAAAATTCTTAATAGGAGCACAGACCTTGTAGATTTTAACTCCCTGTCTGACTTTTCATTGTGATCTCTCCCTTGATTCCCCAAGCTACACTAATCTTCTGTTAGTTCCTAAACATATCAACTTCCTTACTGTCTTAAAGTCTTCATCATGCTGTTCCGTGGCCAAGAATACGCTATAATCCCCCAGCACTCTGGCATGGCTAACTCCCATTCATTATTCAAGTCTGAGCTTAAATGTCCTTTGCCATGAAAGTCTTCCCTGCTCTCCCCACCACCCCCAAGACTAAGTTCTCATTTTTATACCTCTCACAGCACTGTGTCTCATCACAACTTTCTTTTTATAACAGTTGTAATAATAATTATTTGTTTATAAATATACTTGAAGTTAATGGGTATAATGTTTTTCAAATGAGGCTGAGAATTTTCTCAGCTCAGGGACCATATCTCTCTTGTTCACTGCTGTATATATTCCCAGTATTCAGTATGGTATCTTGCCCTTAGAAAATGCTTCTTGTGAGAAAAAATATACATACATATGTGTGTATTTAATTAAATATATGTGGATGTGTAATATCTATGGCTGGGTATAAATGTACATTTGCGCATGTGTATAAACCAACAGGAAAATTACACTAACACTTCTCAGGAATGAAATCGGTCAGTGTTACAATTTTCAGGTTCAGCTGAGAATCCTTATGTACTCTTAATTTTAGTAGCCAGAAGGCCATATTGAGGATTATTAATTTTCTCCCTTCTTATAGGTAAAAAATTTGAAAACACTGAAATGTTTGGTCAGTACCCCCTTCAGGTCAATGGGTTCAAAGATCTGCATGAGTGCCTAGAAGCTGCGATGATTGAAGGAGAAATTGAGTCTTTACATTCAGAGAATTCAGGAAAATCAGGCCAAGAGGTGAGTTTAACGTTTTCATTGTTCACTTTCTTCCCTAGGTCTTTCTTAAAATGCCATAAAGCACAATGTAAGGTTCTAATTATATAGCTACCTAACAATTGAGAGAGAATACTCAGAGAATATATTTGGATTTAATTGGTAATTTAGACATTCAAGAAACCTGCCCAGTCAATATGGCCTATAATCTACGTTAAATTCTCACTTAAATAATTTATCTCAGAATTTTCAGTTAAAGTCTTTCTAGGACATTTTTCAGTCTTTTTAGACCTTTCAATCAAGGTACCAGCCATTAGCAGCATGCTAGTTCTTGGATATATTTAAAGAAGAAAAATCCTGATATTACAGTGGACTTTAAAACAGATATATGCTACTTATATCAACTGTTACTGGAATTTGTCCACGACGCCTAGATTCCTTTTCTTGTAAAATTGCTATGTGATTGCATAAGGTCAGATGGAAGAACTTCCCTTCTCAAGGAAGAAATAATTTTTATAAAATATTGTTAACTTATATGTCTACCTCAACTAGTTTCTTTCTTTCTACCCATCTCTGTTTCTTTATCCATCTCTGTAGCTGCATCTGTGTAGCCATTCATCCGTGCATTCATCTGTCAGGGAGTTTTGGCACTGTAATAGTAAGCAAAGGACATATCATGTGCTTCTCCAATCAGTCATTGTTAAGCAATTGCTGATAGTTGTCTAGCTGTTAAGCTCCATGAATGTGGGTAGAGGCTTTATCTGTGTCATTCATTACTATATCCCTAGTGGTAGTATGGTGGCTGCATACATAATATTTATTGAATGAATGAATGAAATGTCTTGGTACTTATCAAACAAGTTTCTGAGGTCTTTATACTGAATAGGTGCTTAATAAATATTAAGTGATACGATGTCTCTGTGTTTAGCTAAAAGGAGACTTTGTTCTTGTGTTTTTGAGAATAAATAGCTTTTATCTAAATTTTAATTTTTTTTTTCTTAAAGATGCAGTTAACCCTTTCCTATTCCAGATGCATACTCATTTTTTCCTCTTCCCTGCACATACATAAACAAACAAAAATATGCTTTTCCTCTTAAGAGGAAGAGTCGTATTTGAAATAGCCTTCCTCTCTACGTCATAGATCATCTATTTCAGTGATTCTCAGTAGAGAAAAGCCACACTTCAAAGTTATCAAAGCAGAGTGTAGCATAGGGATGTGGTATATGGGCACAAGAGCTGCACAACTAATTCTGATGTAAACCTCTAAATAAGAATGTTTAAATTCAGCTAATTTTATTGATTGGGAAACAGATCTCTAAAGACTGGGACTTTAGCAATATCCCACAATGGAATAAGAAAGCAAACTCTTAAAATCCGATCTATTTGCTGTTAAATAAAAGGATGACTGGAGTAGTGGGGCAGGGATGGTACTTTTTTTATATTGTTAGAGTAGCTGAAATACACTATGGTTTATTAGTAATCTTTCTCACATACTCCCAGCTTAAAAAAATTTTTTATTCTACACATAATCAAAATTTTATGGTTTATTTAAAATATCTTATACTTGTCCTCCATCTTTTTATGGTGGTTTCATACTCTGAATGCCCCTATGTTGCAATATAAATGTTCTGCCTAGGTTTTTTCTTCTAGCCTAGGGAATATGATGATTTATGATGTTCTGTATATTTAGCAGTTTCTAATCTCCACTACTGTGGCAAATTTGATTGCCTGTGATTCCTGTTACCATTTTTCTAGATTTGCTGGAGACTATAGTTTCAATAATAATTCAGCTTGGTTTAAGAGACTATCACTGACTAAAGTATAATATCAGTTTTTAAAAAATAACATTTAAATTATAGTCTTATTATATCCTTTAGAAAAACTATTCTTGAATCTCTAAAAGCCAGTAAGTAACATTATAGGCTATTTCTAAATTGGCATAATCCCTGATAACAATAGCTTTTTCGTCAATCTATTATTTACTAAAAATTGTCAATTTTATTTTGACCCAGAAAACATCTCATTTGCTGAAATAGCTGTGGCCAACTAATATAGGAAGACCTCCAGTCTTCCCAGTTAAAACATCCAGTTGGCTATAAGAGTTTAAATTTTGGGGGAATGATATACTAAGAGACAACTGAGTAAGTTAAACATGATTATATCCAAAATAACTACTTAAATTTTTTTAAAATGATACATTTTAACATTTAAATGGTATGCAATTTGTAGATGAGTCAGACTCTCCAGGAAACATGGAGATATTTTTTTATTGCCTATTGGAGGAAAAAAATTTCAGATAGTAAATACTTCACTTGTAGTGTGAGCATTCGCTGCTACGAGTGTGTGTTGCATGTTCTTTTAGACTGCTGCTATGCACATGTAAGTATTCGCATCTGTCCGTACTGCCCCGAGAGTTGCAGTTTTCACTCAGCAGTATATCATGAGCATGCTTCTAAGTTAGTGTACAGCTTTACGTCAGTGTTTTTAAAATCTGCAGTGTTACATAGTCTGTTATAAAATTAAATTGATTTAATTCTCTTGTAAGGCAGTAACTAAGAAAAAGAATTATTTTGAAGAATGTCTTTACCCTTGAGCACTTAGGAATGAAGTATAGTTAGAAGTAGGATCTTTGGGTCACAGGGCATACTCATTTAAATGTGTTGGTACTGCCAAATTTCCCTTCACAAAGTTATACCAAGTTATAATAAAGTGCTAGAAGGAGCTTTTACAAAGCTTTAAAAACAAAATTAGCGAAACAGTCGATCGACATGTACCATATTAGACATCTGTAGAGGTTATGTCTATTTAAAACTTATCTTTTAAAATAAAAGGGCAAATGAGTGAAGACAATTAAATGACTGGAGCTAATTTTTTAACAGGAATAAACAGTTTTTGCTTCTTGTGCACAGTTTACATCCTGGCTTGGTTTGGTCTTCTGTAGGGAATTTGAAATGATAGGTATGTTTTTTCTGTTGTTTTTTTTTTTTTTTTCCTCCACATTTGTGTAATCCTCTCATAAAAGCAAGGTATCTTATACACTTTAATGGAAAAAACAGGTATTTAAACTCATAAAAATGACATACTCTTTAGGAACTATTTTTGTTAACGGTGAGATTTCTAGAATTGTGATGAATTTAGAAGCACTTATGCTGACAATACTGATTATGTGAGTTCTTTATTCACTAACTGCAGAAATCTGTTCCTCCTGTAGTTTATCTAGTAAAAGAATGTTTAGAGATATGGAGAATGACCTCTGTCTCACAAGCATGGCATACTAGTTAGGTTATAGAGAAGTATAGTTTTTTGTTGAATGGAAATAGTATTTTTTTGAAAGAAAAATTTCTGTTTTGTATTATTTAAAATTCAAATTATGTACTGCTATACTACAATCCAAATATTGCAGAGCTAGACATACCATTAATATTTTAAAACATGAATTTACAGAATGTTTGGTTATCTCATCTTGTCCCCATCAGCTTTAGAATGAGAAAGTGAAATCCTTCCACTCTTGTAGTAGGAAAAACCTGCCATCGCTGATAGAGGAAAATGCATTCATAACAGAGACATATTACATAACATTTTTGAGCATCCTTTTGTAAGGTATGGAAGCTATTTATATTTCCTGGACTTTTCATGGTCTACAGAAAAGTATACCCCAATTTGGGTCATTTCATTTCTTGTGGCCATTGTAGATTTCCATGAATTAAAATATGTAACTAATTTTAATGGTGACATTTAAATATTTAAAGTATTGCAATAAAATATGAAAGTGATAGTTCTTGAAATCTACTTTCTTGTTTGAGTATCATAAAATGGAACAGAGAATATTATCCTAAAGAATCAAAAGTGTTCTTTGTGATATGTCTGGGGTAATGTTTTAATTCTTAATAATAATTTTATCTGTGGATTAGAACTAACTCAAAAATTCTTGCCAGTTCCATGTGAGATCAAAATGAGTAAGCAAACTTTGCTCATCAAATTTTAAAACTTGAGATGTTTCTGATATTTTTCATAACTTTATTTAATCCGTTTCAGGTATTATCCATATAAAACGAATTCCTTAAACCTTAGCTTTCAGTGAAAGATAACCATCCAGCTCAGGAAACCTCAATTCAAGTAATTATTATCATTTTGAAAGAGAAATAGTATTGAATACCATTTGCTTTTATTTGCTTTAGAGAAAAGTAGCAACTTTCCAGATCCTTGTCAAATTCACTTTGCCAGGTGTGTGCCAATCATGCTTTTTTTGGATGTTCAAATTTATATTTAGTATATTCTTAACTTATTGACAGATGGGTGGTGGCATTTTGTGACACTTGAAATTATCACACAATAGAGTATGCAGCAGTTTCGCATATTGCACAGTTTATAATAAGCACTTCAGAAATACTTATTTTTTACTTCTGTTGTATGTTGATTTACCAGTTTGTTACCTTTTCTTTCTCTTTAAATACATATGCTTATGTATAACTTAAGGTTGTATATGAAAATAATTTTCTTTTAAAAATGTTGAATTTCATGCTTAATTGAACAGTTACTAAAACATGTATGGGGATTAGGGGCTGCGGTTAGGGGAAGGAAATTATAGCTATACTCACGTAATTTGGCTCATAGCAATGAGACATTCAATTCTTTAAACGCTAGTTATTTTAAAAGATTTTAAATAAGTTACTCTTTAAGTACTAACTTTTTGTTAGTGATATGTCTTTTTCGTAAATTAGTTTAAAATCCAGCAGAGGAGCTAAAGTTAAAACAGGAAAACACCATTTTTTCATTTTTAGTATCAGAGTTGTGATGATTTATGATACAAATTTTTTTTTGAGTGCCCCCTCTTACAAGTTACTTTGTCACAGGATTTTGATGCTGTGGTTAAGTATAAGTACCATTCAACAACATATTGAAGAAGATAGAAGACTTGAGCAACTAAGTCATGGTTTTAACCAGTGTCTTTTTCTTTGAGCTAGAAATTCTAATGTAAAGAATTATTTTCGAAGGATAGTTGTGAGATTTCTTTTTTTCCTCATCATGTATTATATCCACTCTTGGAATTTTCAAGAGGTGTGGAAAACTTTTAGAAAGAGGTTGAGTTTTAATTAAATTGTGTACCCAATTACTTGTCAGGTCAGCATTGTGGTGATACATATAAAAATGTCAGTGCCCACATCCTATGCCTAAGATTGCAATGAAGAAAACAAAGGTGGTATTAAAGTTTTTGTTATTGTTTTATTTCCTTTCAGCATTGGTTTACTGAATTACCACCTGTGTTAACATTTGAATTGTCAAGATTTGAATTTAATCAGGCATTGGGAAGACCAGAAAAAATTCACAACAAATTAGAATTTCCCCAAGTTTTATATTTGGACAGGTATGGTTTGATATACTGCATGACTTAGTTTGAAACAGTTTAGTAAGTGATAAAATGTTGTATAGAGAAAAATTCTAATTTTCTTAGAATTAATTTTTACTTTTGTATAATATACCTAAAACCATTTGTCAAGGTAAATGTCACTTTGTATTAGAAAAGTATAGTTGTTGGGAATAATGTTATAAGGAAATTTAAAGATGATTAATTTTGTAGTCTTAAAATTCAGAATTTAAAAAAATACCATTTTGTATTATCTACCTTATATCTAATACAATTTTGAATGAATTGATGCTTCATGGTGATGTCTATACTTAATATTTTATCTATCTTTCTGTCTTCCTGTCTTTCTTTCTTTTGTTTTTTTCTGTTTGTCTGTCTGTCTTTCTGTCTTTCCTTTTTTTGTTGTTCTTTTTTGTTGAGACGGAGTCTTGCTCTGTCACTCAGGCTGGAGTGCAGCGATCTGGGCTCACTGCAACCATCATCTCCTGGGTTCAAGTGATTCTTCTGTCTCAGCCTCCCGAGTAGCTGGGAGTACAGGCACCTGCCATCATGCCTAGCTAATTTTTGTATTTTAGTAGAGACGAGATTTCACCATGTTGGCCAGGCTGGTCTTGAACTCCTGACCTCAGGTGATCCTCCCGCGTTGGCCTCCCAAAGTGCTAGGCCGGGCATGCTGGCGTCTGGCCATATTGCATCTACTTTCATGATATTCAGAAATGCTAATGATTGCCTTTTTCTGATAGATACATGCACAGAAACAGAGAAATAACGAGAATTAAGAGGGAAGAGATCAAGAGACTGAAAGATTACCTCACAGTATTACAACAAAGGCTTGAAAGGTATTTTAACTTTTATGAAATTAGGAGATAATTATCAGAAACCATGTATTTGGTGACTAGATTATTCATTTCAAATTTGCTTTGAATGATTTATAATTTTAGGAGTAGTTAATATTGTGTGAATAGTTTTGAGTTTTGCTTAAAACTAAAAATCTGTAGTTGACTTTAATTATTCTAGTGGTTAAAATTAAATAGTTCATTGTCAACAGGTAAGGTTCCTACTGCTGAAAATTGATATAAAGTTAAAAGAATATAGTTTTGACCTTTCTTTTTGCATGAAACTAAAGATTACTCTGGAGATTTTCATTACAATGAATGGTACCTGAGTTTTTCTCCTTAAAACTGGATACAAACTCAGCTGCCTACCAGGCCTTCTCAGCAGCTTCATAAAGGAGGAAATTGTGTCAGGTGTAAAATGGTATGTGCTGGAAGTCTAGAGAGCAATCTGTGTGTACAGGGAATAAATGCCATTCCAATACCAGTGGATGGTGCCATGTATGAGTGTGGCCTCACTGTTGTTTATTGATTTGGATCATTTCTAAAAGAAGTCAGAATCTAGACTGAGAAATGTTCTACAGGCAAGACAGAAATCTAAAGGCTGAAATGTCACTTAAGTCATTTCAGTTTGCAAACCCCGATCTACTCTGTATTCCCGTATTTTAGAAATTTTCAAATTAGTAGTCTAAAACTTCTTATATCAAATAATATATCGTATTTTAGTGATTTTTATTCTTAAAATGTACGAATAATCATATTGAAAAATGATTAGTGGTAAAAGATAGGAGGACAGTACTTGTCACTGTCTTGATCATGAAACCAGATGCCAGATCTAAAACTAAAAACAGCCTCAGGAGATGTCAGTTTTCATCCTATTGAGTTACAATTTAGAACAGCATTTACAAATTATAACAGTATATGCTCACATTCAGTCCCAATCAGCCTTGGTTTCCTGTCTTTGGAGAACATTTAATATGTTTTTCTTAAATGTATATTCAGTTTTACCATCTTCATTTTAAAGCTAATGAATGTTATTGCTGAGGAAGTTTTATTGAAGTATCATATCATGTTTTATAATAATAATAAAAACCCAAATATGCTGTATATAGAAATAAAAGCATTGTACATTTTATGATTAACAGATACTTAAGCTATGGTTCGGGTCCCAAACGATTCCCCTTGGTAGATGTTCTTCAGTATGCATTGGAATTTGCCTCAAGTAAACCTGTTTGCACTTCTCCTGTTGACGATATTGATGCTAGTTCCCCACCTAGTGGTTGCATACCATCACAGACATTACCAAGGTAAAAAGTAATCTCGATGCAAGAGACAGTTGTTACCTTTATTACATAATGTAACTGCTGCCTCTAAAGATGGTTTTTATGAAATGTATGCTTTGATTTACTTTAGTGAACTCTTAAGAGTAGATTCACTTAGAAGATTGTATGTCCTCTGGAAGTTTTTTTTGTCATTTCAGTGGATTTTATGGTCATGGATTAAATTTTTAATCACATTTTTTTCAGTTCAGAATTATACTTTAGCATGTTTTGGTATGTACATATATAAAATTCAGCATTTTATGATCCATAAAAATAGCACTGTCAAATTTGAATTTGTTTCTGTAATGTAAGCTGATAAGCCAGGGAAAATAATATAATCATGCATAAGATTTTGTTGTTTTTTAAAAAATAAATATGATTAAGCCGTTTTTTCTCTAAAGCTACAACTTCATCTTATAATAATTTAGTTCTTATGTATTAAAAATCTCATTTGGATATTAGATCCATCCACATATTTCTTTGTTAAGATTTTTCCTTTTAGATTATAAGCCAATTTAATACTGTGGGTTTGGCACTATCTTAGTTGAGAGCTTCAGCTTGAAAGGTTAATAACAAATACTCTATGCTTTAATGCAGCACAACAGAACAACAGGGAGCCCCATCTTCAGAACTGCCAAGCACGTCACCTTCATCAGTTGCTGCCGTTTCATCGAGATCAGTGATACACAAACCATTTACTCAGTCCCGGATACCTCCAGATTTGCCCATGCATCCGGCACCAAGGCACATAACGGAGGAAGAACTTTCTGTGCTGGAAAGTTGTTTACATCGCTGGAGGACAGAAATAGAAAATGACACCAGAGGTAAGAAGTGTCTCATAGCATGGTTACTGTCACCTCAGATGGATATGTATAAGGTTAATATTGAGAAGGGAAATCACATCTGGGTTTTATATTTAAAGATTACAGTCATTTTTCTTTTCCAGAAAGGGTTTTATGTAAGATAAACTAGTCTGGCTCCCCAGTTTTATAATCTCAGTATCAGGTTCACAAGGACCAAAAGATTTTCCCTGGATTGCTTAGCTGATTAATGACACAGCAGATGGCCTGATTTTCTAGTTTACTGCTCTAAATTTATATCAAACTGGTATTCACAGTTACTCCATTGGAGAAATGTCATACAACATCAATGTTTGTACGTGTCAATTGGGTACTAAAATCTAAGTTTGCACAGGGAGTTCCAGTGATAAAAAAATTTTCTTTAGGCTTAACAATTAGAAATGTGAATTTTAGTTTTTAATAGCTCTAACAGATTTCTAAATATCTATGATCCCATTACAGTCTGTAACAGAGCAGCAAAATAAGAAAAATAAGGACAGTGCTCTGTGTGGGGTATGTGCACTTGTGTGCGTGTGTGTGTGTGTGTGTGTGTGTGTATGTGTCAAGTTACCATCTGTCCTTTCTTGGAAGGAACTCTCTTTTATTCTTTTGTATTCTGTTTTTTCTTTTTTTCACAATAAGTTGTTCTGAACTTTTCTCTTTCCTACTTTGCTGTTGTTATAGTGTACTTTAAAAAATGGATTATGGTAGATATTATTACACTTTTTTCTTTAAATGTGAAAATATAATTCCCTGTTATTCCCCAATTTTATGCTAATTTATTGGTTTATGAAAAAAATGAACTACTTATGTGACATGGTTGGAATTATATTGAACAATATTGATTGTTGGATATTATTTGACCAACTTAACTCTTTATAGACAATATTTGAAAAAGAACGGCCCTAATTTAGTAAGAAAACACAAGGTATGATGGCGACTAATAGCATTAGTAGCTGTCAAGATTTTCCTTAGTATTTTTCATATAAGAAGGAATTTTTGAAAATATTTGAATGTATTAACAAACATGTTGATGAAGCACTGTATTAGGTGTTGGGTAATTTTCTACTCCTCGTAGCAGGTTGTTTCTAAAAGATTACATTCAGAGGCGTGGAAGCTAGGAAGCTTTTGACACCTAGGTCATGGTACTGAGGGAGGGAAGAAGTGAATGTACTTAAAATACTCTTTGGAGACAACTGACAGATGTGGGTCATTGGCTAGAGGTGAGAGAGGGAGGAATCAAATGAATCTCTTAGTTCATAATGGTATGAATAACCAAATAGAATGTATTTTGGAAAAAAGGTAAACCAGTGGGCGAAGAGGTTCCCCACTCAGGGGAGGAAAGAGAAATATGATGAGTTCTCTTTTGTCCGTTTTAAGTTTGAGAGCTTTTTTGAGACGCAGTCTCCCTCTGTCACCAGGCTGGAGTGCAGTGGCACGAACTCGGGTCACTGCAGCCTCTGCCTCCTAGGTTCAAGCGATTCTCTTGCCTCAGCCTCCCGAGTAGCTAGGACTACAGTCATGTGCCACCACACCCAACTAATTTTTGTACTTTTAGTAGAGAGAGGGTTTCACCCTGTTGGCTAGGGTGGTCTTGATCTCTTGACCTTGTGATTCTCCTACCTCAGCCTCCCAAAGTGCTGGGATTACAGGCATGAGCCACCATGCCCAGCTGATAAAATTTTTATATGTAATACTATGAATCAAGAAAGAAGGTTTTCCTCAGGATATTTTTTTTCTTTTTCATCCCTATTGATGTTAGCAGTTAGCAATATTTTGTAAACTATTGTGTAATATTCCAAGACACAGTTATGATATAATTAATTCCCATATTGATATTTACTAAATAGTGCTGGTATTCGATATACATATTTATACACTTATGTAAGTAAGATATATTCTTTTTTAAAAACTTTTATTTTATGTTCAGGGGTACATGTGCAGGTTTGTTATAAAGGTAAATTACACATCTTGGAGGTTTGGTGTAAGATTATTTCATCACGCAGGTAATAAGCATAGTACCTAACAGGTAGTTTTCCATCTTCACCCTCCTCCCACCCTCCACCCTAATGTAAGCCCCAAGGTCTCTTGTTTCCTTATGTCCACCATTTCTGGTTCAGAGTGTGTATATTTTCAGTTTCGACAACCATTTTAAAATTGTCCCTCCAAAACATTAAACCAGTTTGCCTTCCCAGTGTGTAAGAGAGCCTGTCGCCCAGTATCCTCCCTAACCCTGGACACTTTTTAGTAGTTTTTTACAGTTGAGAAAATGGTATTTTAGAGTTTTGATTTGCATTCCGTTAGCTTTGAGTGAAGTTGGACATTTATATTTTTCTGTAAATTTCTTGTTTGTGACATTTGCCCATTTTAAAAATATTGAGCCATTTGTCTTTTTCTTATTGCTTAATAGAAAGTTTAATGTATTGTGGATATTAACCCTTTGCCTATAATATCATATCTGCTGCAGATATTATTTTCCCAATTTTTCATTTGATTTTCTTTATGTTGGTTTTGTTTTGTTTTTATAATGTAGATTTTTTAGGCAGGGAGGATCTTACCTTTTCCTATGAGGTTACTGGTTTTCTGACAGACTTAGACAGGTCTTTCCCCACTCTAAAGTTAGCTTATTTTTTTTTAAATAGTTTTTCAAGGTTTCTTCCTGATTGGTTCAGCAGCTTCACAATATGATGTGGTTTCAATGTAACCATTTCCTTATTGACAGATACTTAGTTTATTTCATTTTTAAAAATTATTGTGGACAATATGACTGTGAACATCCCTATCTGAACAATTTTGTAGGATTATTTTCTACTAGAAGTAGAAATAATTGTCATGGGTGTGCCATAATTTTATTTTCACTGGGATTATAGTCGATTTTTATTCAGTTATGTGTGTGTACAAGATATGTGGTGAACATCTTTTACTTTGTTCTTAAGTTTACTTGTGTTATAGCAATTATGTAAGGAAGCTTAGCTTTCATTTTCATTGAAACTCTCCTTTATAGAGTTGAACAAAATTCACTTTTATGGGCTCTCCACATTTTCTGGATAAATTATATTTGTGTTGTTTTTTAACTATGCATTTTTACTGTGTCTTTTATTAAGAATAACTATATTTTGGCTTTTGCTGCCGTTGCTTTTGGTGTTTTAGACATGAAGTCTTTGCCCATGCCTATGTCCTGAATGGTACTACCTAGGTTTTCCTCTAGGATTTTTATGGTATTAGGTCTAACATTTAAGTCTCTAATCCATCTTGAATTAATTTTCATATAAGGAGTAAGGAAAGGATCCAGTTTCAGCTTTCTACTTATGGCTAGCCAGTTTTCCCAGCACCATTTATTAAATAGGGAATCCTTTCCCCATTTCTTGTTTCTCTCAGGTTTGTCAAAGATCAGATGGCTGTAGATGTGTGGTATTATTTCTGAGGACTCTGTTCTGTTCCATTGGTCTATATCTCTGTTTTGGTACCAGTACCATGCTGTTTTGGTTACTGTAGCCTTGTAGTATAGTTTGAAGTCAGGTAGCATGATGCCTCCAGCTTTGTTCTTTTGAAAAATGGGATCTCATCAAACTAAAGAGCTTCTGCACAGCAAAAGAAACTACCATCAGAGTGAGCAGGCAACCTACAGAATGGGAGAAAATTTTTGCAATCTACTCATCTGACAAAGGGCTAATATCCAGAACCTACAAAGAACTCAAACAAATTTACAAGAAAAAAACAAACAACCCCATCCAAAAGTGGGCAAAGGATATGAACAGACATTTCTCAAAAGAAGACATTCATACAGCCAACAGACACATGAAAAAATGCTCATCATCACTGGCCATCAGAGAAATGCAAATCAAAACCACAATGAGATACCATCTCACACCAGTTAGAATGGCGATCATTCAAAAGTCAGGAAACAACAGGTGCTGGAGAGGATGTGGAGAAATAGGAACACTTTTACACTGTTGGTGGGATTGTAAACTAGTTCAACCATTATGGAAAACAGTATGGCGATTCCTCAAGGATCTAGAACTAGATGTACCATATGACCCAGCCATCCCATTACTGGGTATATACCCAAAGGATTATAAATTATGCTGCTATAAGGACACATGCACACGTATGTTTATTGCAGCACTATTCACAATAGCAAAGACTTGGAATCAACCCAAATGTCCATCAGTGACAGATTGGATTAAGAAAATGTGGCACATATACACCATGGAATACTATGCAGCCATAAAAAAGGATGAGTTTGTGTCCTTTGTAGGGACATGGATGCAGCTGGAAACCATCATTCTTAGCAAACTATCACAAGAACAGAAAACCAAACACCGCATGTTCTCACTCGTAGGTGGGAACTGAACAATGAGATCACTTGGACTCGGGAAGGGGAACATCACACACCGGGGCCTATCATGGGGAGGGGGGAGGGGGGAGGGATTGCATTGGGAGTTATACCTGATGTAAATGACGAGTTGATGGGTGCAGCACACCAACATGGCACAAGTATACATATGTAGCAAACCTGCACAACGTGCAGGTTTACTTCATTTAGTGTCAGTATCTCACGCCCTGTAATCCCGGACTTTGGGAGGCTGAGGCGGCTGGATCACAAGGTCACTCGGGAAGGGGAACATCACACACCGGGGCCTACCATGGGGAGGGGGGAGGGATTGCATTGGGAGTTATACCTGATGTAAATGACGAGTTGATGGGTGCAGCACACCAACATGGCACAAGTATACATATGTAGCAAACCTGCACGTTGTGCACATGTACCCTACAACTTGAAGTTTAATAATAATAAATAAATTAAAAAAAAAAAAAAAGAATAACTATAATTCGGCCGGGCGCAGTATCTCACGCCTGTAATCCCAGGACTTTGGGAGGCTGAGGCGGCTGGATCACAAGGTCAGGAGATCGAGACCATCCTGGCGAACACGGTGAAACCCCGTCTCTACTAAAAATACAAAAAATGAGCCGGGTGTGGTGGCAGGTGCCTGTAGTCCCATCTACTCGGGAGGCTGAGGCAAGAGAATGACATGAACCTGGGAGTTGGAGCTTGCAGTTAGCCAAGATCGAGTCACTGCATTCCAGCCTATGCGACAGAGCAAGACTCTGTCTCAAAAAAAAAAAAAAAGAATAATTATAATTCATTTTCTACAGATTTCAAATAGTAATGTTTTTTAAGAGAAGTTTTAGGAAATTGTTCCTATTTCTCTAATGTGTTTGTTAGAAAGCCATTAGTCCTTATAAGTAGAAGCACACTTGATGTTAATCATTAAATGACACCTTATATCCTTAGATTTGCAGGAAAGCATATCCAGAATCCATCGAACAATTGAACTAATGTACTCTGACAAATCTATGATACAAGTAAGTGAAATTTTGAGCTAGTAATCATTGTCAAAATTATTTACATATATTTTAATTTATCTTTACATTATGTTAATCTAATTTTTCTTTACATGTTTTGATTTAAAATATTAGTAAATCAAAATTTTGTAATTTGGTAAATCAAAATTATTATTGTAAAATAATAAGGGCGTGCAATATGTACAATGTGACAGTTCATCTGAATGGGGGAAATTTTGTAACAAATTTATAACAAAATTCATGACAAGTTTTCCCCATTCAGTTGTGTTTTCACACTGTATGTGTTGTGTACCCTTATTATTTTACAGTAAAATCTACCAAAATTTTTCAAAAGGCTATAGCATCTTTAAAAAGTCTTATGGAAGGAAATCTATGGTTGTTAAAGGATTTTAAGATTTGGGAAGAAACCTTAGGACTCCGTTACATTTTAACTTCTGGTGTATATTATATAATCTATTTTGTTAACCGTCAATTTAGAATTCTGAAGATTTGGACACATTTACTATATATAAAACTGCCCACTCTAAGCTTTTTATTCAAAAGAAACAATTAGGCCAAGGAGTACATACACAATAAATACATTTTTAGTTTTTCAAAAATCATCTTTTTAATCTGCATACCTGTCAACTTTACATATCTTTAGCTTATTCAGATTTCGTCTTTTTAAAGTTTTATAGTTTTAAAGTTTAGTTTTTTCAAAATTTTAATCCCAGCCAGTTCTCTCTCATTTAAAAAAAAAAAGAAAAAGAAATGCTCTTTTGGTTTCCTCCAAGCAGGTTGTTTGTGGGTTTCATGGAATGTGGTATAGTAGACTACATAATTGCAGTTTAACTCTTCTTTTTTTCACATTTAGGTTCCTTACCGATTACATGCCGTTTTAGTTCATGAAGGCCAAGCTAATGCTGGGCACTACTGGGCATATATTTTTGATCATCGTGAAAGCAGATGGATGAAGTACAATGATATTGCTGTGACAAAATCATCATGGGAAGAGCTAGTGAGGGACTCTTTTGGTGGTTATAGAAATGCCAGTGCATACTGTTTAATGTACATAAATGATAAGGCACAGTTCTTAATACAAGGTAAGAGTATATAGGGTGGTATATATTTTTTCAGTAGTCATAAAAGTGACTCTGGTATGTGGTGTGATTAGTTAAGTGTAATTCAGGTGATGATGGATGTGATTAGGAAACACTTCTGGGTTTTGACAAGACTGAATTGAAAAGTAACATCAGCAGAGCTAAGAATTGGTATATATTTTGTATTCCAACTCAACTATTAAATGTAAATACGACCTTTTTTGTCCTTGCTAAAAACGCTTTAGTGACTATTCCACAAATTGACTCATATTTAAAATTTAATTCCTTAGCCTAACATATATGGCCTCTGTTCTTGGCCTCTGATTATCTCCCCACCTTCATTGATCCCCAGTGTTCGTTTTGAATTTATATACTTTACTGAACTTCTTGCTGTATCTGCTCATACCAAACCATTTCACACATTTATGTCTGCATGTTCTTACATGTTTTATTTTTTGCTAGTAATTCTTTTGCCTGATTCTTGTGCATCTGTCAAGATTCAGTTCAGGTGTCATTTCCCCTGCAAACTTGATCTGCCAGAAAGTATCTCTCCTTATGCTCTCCTAGCATCTGTCTCCTGGGCATTTACTGTTGCGTATTGGAATTGTGTGATGACTTGCCGTGCACATTTCTCTCTCCTCTGCTCAAAGCCAGAGACGTGTCATTCTATGTCTCAAGTTTTGTATTTCTGATATTCTGATACATGCTTTGCATATAGAAAACAATAAAAGGTTTATTGATACTGATAAAAATAATCTTTCTATATTTAGTCATTCAGCAGAATCAGCTAGGCAGTCTACTTCTGACTGAAAAAATGAAGTTATTTTTCTGTGTGTATAGTAGAAGTTGAGTAATTCTTCTAAATACTCTATTAAGATCTTGCTGTATCAACTGATTTTCATAATTGCGTATTTAAGTCTACTTAACTTCTTCATATGACAAGCAATTTTAGTTTTATTTTGAGCTAATAAGGTTAACATGGTTATGAGTTGTTTACATTTTGTGAAAAGTTTTAGTTTTTAAGTAATCAAACATCTGGTATTTTCCAGTAATGGCAAGAGTAGTACTACATCACTGTTAGAGTAGCAGAGAAAAAAAAAATGGCCAGGCACGGTGGCTCACGCCTGTAATCCCAGCACTTTGGGAGGCCGAGGCGGGCGGATCATGAGGTCAGGAACTCGAGACCATCCTGGCTAACACGGTGAAACCCCACCTCTACTAAAAATACAAAAATTTAGCTGGGTGTGGGGCGGGTGCCTGTAGTCCCAGCTACTCGGGAGGCTGAGGCAGGAGAATCGTTTGAACCCAGGAGGCGGAGCTTGCAGTGAGCCAAGATTGTGTCACTGCACTCCAGCCTGAGTGACAGAGAGAGACTCCATCTCAAAAAAACAAAAAACAAAACACTTGGCTTTGTGTTTTCTCTCATTTCTACTCTTAAGATTAAAAAAAAAAAATGTGAGATCATTACCTATGATGGATTATCAAACATTTTTATCATTGTTTTTCTGAGCATTTGTTTGAATTTTAAAAAGTGTTTTAGGTAATAATTATTTGCTAAACAGTAGTAATTCTTAAGTAATATTGATTGGCTAATTGGTAATAATTCATAGTTTAAATTCTATTTGAAATGCAATCTATTTTGAGTGTTGCATGTTCCCTTTAATTCTTAATTTTATACTAGTTTTTGAAATATTATTTGCAGAGGAGTTTAATAAAGAAACTGGGCAGCCCCTTGTTGGTATAGAAACATTACCCCCGGATTTGAGAGATTTTGTTGAGGAAGACAACCAACGATTTGAAAAAGAACTAGAAGAATGGGATGCACAACTTGCCCAGAAAGCTTTGCAGGAAAAGCTTTTAGCGTCTCAGAAATTGAGAGAGTCAGAGACTTCTGTGACAACAGGTTTGTCCATTTTTATTAAGCTTTGTTTGATTATCAGTATTGTTATTGTTATAATGATAAGATATGCTCATTATTAAAAAGGTTTAGCTGTCTTAAAGTATGAGGAAATCAGTAGAAACCATCTCACATTCCATCAGTCAGATTATCACAGTTAAGTTTAATTTGCCTTTTTGCCAGACACCGCTGTATACAGTTATATGTTTTTCAAGATAAATGAGATGATTCTGTTGACTTTCCCTCTACCTACTCTGCCTATGTTGGGTGGGCTTGAATTTTCTTGGCAAGTAGCCGAGAAAGCTGTGAAATCAACAAGAAACCCAAACCAATTCAGTTTGACCAAAATAATACTACCGGTATATTCATATATACTTTGTGCAATGGTAAAATACTACCATTAATAACTGTTTGATGTTTTTCAGAATTGTTAAGATTAAAAGAAAATTGACCAAAACTATGTAGTATATCATAGGTAAAAAATAAGTGTAACCTCTAAACCAAAGATATAAATGTGTAAACATATAAATATTGAAAAGCATTATTCTTAAATAAACTATTAGCTGATGAAATCAATAAAATAAGTCAGAGTAAACACTGTATGAGAATTAAGAAAATAGTTTCTAGTAAAATTGAAAATATATTGTCTTTTGGTTTTCTTAAAAGATTACTCTTATCACTGAGTTGCAAATATGTTTTAGGGCAACATGTTTTCTGGTATGGAAAATGCTATTTCTGGGTACAAATTGAGGAAATGAGAAGCAGATAAATTAAGCCCATATATTTTCCTCAAACTCATTTGTCTCTTTTTATAAATGCTAGTGGATGTTATTGAATAACCTTTTTTTCCCCCAAGATCTGTATGTTTTGTTTTTTAAGGAAGCAGTTCCAGCTTTTGTTGGTTTAATTTCATCTTTTACAGACAAAGATTTCCTTGCAGCATTACCTGGTTGAGTTTCAGCATTATCGTTTGAACTTTAGAAGGACTTATTACTTAAGTAGAAGATTATTTTACAGTGCTACAGTGTAGTATTGTGATTGATACAGGCATGCACAAATCTGTCCAGATGACTTATTTTCATGTAGATCAAATAGTTGTCATCGATTTTGATCCTGAGAGGCAGATAATTCAGCATTTTTAAAAAGGATAATGGTATTACAGCAACATTTTGATATTCCAGTGCTATGGGAATACCACTATTATAGTGACTGGTGAACTCTACCATTAGGTAGGACTGCACTCTTCCCCCCATATATACAAGGCTACCATGTAGAGCAGGTGAAGCTATGTGGGTCCACAACAATGTAGTTTTTAGTACACATCAAGAGGTATCTAAGCTCAAATCACAGTGTAGTAACTATATTATAGTTCCTTTCATTTTTAAAACATTTCTGTCCCTTTGTGATTTCATGCTTTGCATTCTGTACGTATTCTTTCCAAATCACTACTCAGAACCTGCCCCAAGATGGAGCTACTGTGTTATTGTTTCCTTAACGTTTATTTATTCCATTCACATGTGACTATTCTTGTTATTAGTGGGAGGAAGGGGCTGCATAATGTCGTATAAGCAGTTGTTGTACCTAAGCTCCCTGATACGGGTGAATCCTCCATTCACTGGTTAAGCTCCAGTTTTATTCTTGGCTCACCTGTATTTTCTGATACCAGATATTAAGTTCTAGATATCCTTCTCCCTTCATCTTGTCTGTTTCTCGTAAGTCACACCAAATTTACAGAGTTAACATGTTTTATTTCTGCTTAGTCAAACTAATACATATTCCCAACTAATACTCCTATCTGATAAGGACTAGCCATGCCCCATCCTCATTTTACATTTGTCACCTTTTTTTCTTTCTCTGTAAAAAGACCATGTGTGTATAACTGCATCCATTTTCATGATCAGTACATCTGACCTACACTTTACATGGTGTTTTGTAATTTTTAAAAAATGCAGTACTAGGTATTGGACATATATTTTCATGTCTCTTTTTACCATGCAAAATAAACTTGAAGAGAATGTTGATGTATTTCTGGGAGGAACCAGGATAAAAGATAAAGAGATGAAAATGGTCAATTCCTATTCCTAGATGACTCTTGTAATTACCTTTCAGCATGGGTTTTTTAGAAAGCAGTGGTAATACTACTTCTGTAGGAAACATTGTATCCTCTATAGACTTGATGGAAATATGCGCTTGGTTTGAGTTAGTAGAAGTAGCACATGCCAAGTCCATAAATTTACAGAGTGAGATTGTTGTTTAAAAGATTGGTTTCTATTACTATTATCTTTGAGATTATATTAAGAAATTTGTTCTCTGTTGCAGGATAGTTTCACATATCAAAACTGAATAAGGCTAATGTTTCATTAGAACCGTTTATTCCCTATTATTAATAGGGAAATTTTATTGTAATGTCCATGCCATCCTCTTCTGATTCTTCTCATAGTTTTCAAAGTAAGTAATTTAATTTGGTATAATACTTCCAGGATCTCAAAGCAAACCTGTATTTTAATCTCTCAGGTGTTCACTAGTATTAGGAGTGACTAGTGGAAATAATAAAAGGAAATCTTGTTTATAAAATTCAACAGAATGATTTTTTTCCTCCTTGCAAAATCTTCTCATTAAAGCTGAAACATAAGACCTAATAAAATTCAGTTTCTACTGATTGATATTCCAAATAAGAGTACTAATTCATATTATATTAATCAAATTAGTATTTGTTCCTCTTCTGCTAAAATGTGATCGAGAAATTCATGCATATCAGTTCTCCAGCACCATTCTTTCCCTACTGAGATAATAAATGATGGGAAAGTATGTTTTGGTTCATTTCATGCTGCTTCCCTAGATCTGCTTACTGCAAAGGCCAACTTACTTGAATACTTTTGTTTAGATTTGTAGCCAACCATTCTTTACTATGAATGTATGGATCAGAATTACTAGGGGGATTTTTTTCTGAATATGAACAGCACACCCTACCTAAGACCACGTAAGACATACTAGAATCAGAATCTCTGGAGAAAGGATCTGTTACTATCCTATCTTAAAGAGATCTTCAGATAATTCTGAGGTACACTTCTGGTTAAGCAGCATGACCCTAGGCTGTATTTATAAAACAGAAATTATTCTGGAGAGAAGAGCTTTGTCTGAGTTACTGTTTTACTTATGTTACTCTTGTCTTATCCAAGAAGTATCCAAAGTCCTTACAATATAGCACACTCAGACTTTTTTAAAAAATAAAGAAACACTAGTGAAGATTGGAATGAAATGTATTGCATAAGGTTTTGTAAATTTGTCTAGAGGCAGCAGGCAGAATTGGCTCCGGGACTTCTTTACAAACACTGTCTGCAAGTTAAAAATAAACTGATGTTCCAGGAGAGTACAGTTGGATCCTGAGAGTAAGACCTGGTGGAATGAACAATATCTTCAATGTTCTCAGGTTCCTTGAAAGCAGGAACTAGGTGATATTCTTTTGTTTTGTTTTGAGAGTTTTGCTTTGTTGCCCAGGCTGAAGTGCACTGGCACGATCTTTGCTCACTGCCTCCCGGGTTCAAGCAATTCTTGTGCCTCAGCCTCCTGAGTAGCTGAGACTAGAGGCATATACCACCACACTGGGCTGATTTTTTTGTACTTTAGTAGAGGCAGGGTTTCACCATGTTGACCAGGCTGTGGCCTCAAACTCAAACTCCTGAGCTCAGGCAGTCCTCCACCTTCGCCTCCCAAAGTGCTAGGATTACAGGTGTGAGCCACCACGTCAGGCCTGGAGGTGGTCTTATTTATATCTCCAGCATCTAGTATAATAAATGACATGTGGTAGATGCTCCTTGAAAGTTTTCTATTAATAAATTCATTCCCTATGGAGATTTCCAATCATGAATTTACTAGGGGTGATCCTCAGTTTAGGAGAATACACAATTTTAAAGTAGAGACAAAATAGTCACACAAAAAGGAGGCAGGCCAAATACATGTGGTGAGGATATAGCTCTTTGTTCTGGATAAATGTATGGTTTGACTGGTTTCTAAACCTCTCTCCCCCACACCCCTCAGATTTTCTTTGGAATGGGGCCCAGGAATCTGAAGTTTCAGAAGTTCCACCAGTGATTCTATGCAGCCACCTAAGCGTGGCTCTTTGTAGGCCCTTACAGGGTATGGTAGACTTTTAAATACATGTCTAGAAATGGATGGATTGTATATCTCTCAAGCAGTCCCCTTTAAATCTTCTTCATTGTGAACATAATAAGTATGACTTATTAGTAAGTCAACAAAATAAAGACTTCTGAAAGATATTAGAGATGTTGGTCTTATTTTTATAGTTAAGAGCAGATCCTTACTCTTTAATAGAAAGCCAATTGGTCGTAAAGTTGACCTTCTTAATATACTGAAGACATAACCAGGAAGTATGCATAAGTAAAGCACCCCCAAGCCCCCTCAATACCCTATTTCAACATGAAGATGGGCAAAAGGAGCAGGCTCAGAATTACCTCAGAATGTTGAGTTGTCTTCTGTAACAGCTAGAGAAGCATGGCCGGAAAGTCACTCTGTGGAGGCCAGTCATTTGAAAATCCTAGAGAAATACCGGTAGAACAGGTGAGTGATTTGAGAGAGACTTTAGGAATAAGGATATTATTCACTTCCATACAGAACTGGTCATTCATGGTGAAATGAGTGCATTTAATTTTTTGTTTGTTTGTTTCCAGTCTCCCAGGGTTTCAAACCATTGTGGGTTTACCTACCGTGACTACAACACTGCTCATCTAAGTTCCCTGGGAGGTATATACCTAGGAAAAACCCTCGAGAAAATTGTTCTGTATGGCATTTAGAGAATTTATAGCTGTAGGCCACTAGTGATGAGGTTTTTAATAAGGTTAGAGGATGAACAACAATTGTATTATATAGTAAAAGCCAAACTTGTTCTGCTGTTGTTCCTAACAAAGAAATAGAAATTACTAAAGTGTATGGTAGGGTATTAGTTTCGTGAGCCTTCCATACAGAGCAACACAATATAACCAGTACATGTTATGTTGAATAGAGAGTAATTCTTTTTGTTTAAAAATATGGGTAGGTAGGTAAAGTCCGGAAATAATGTATCAGAATTATTAATAGTGCTTATCTCTGAGTAATGCAAAGAGTTTTTAATTTTCCACATTTTTCTTGTTTGTTCTAGTAAACATTTTTATTCTTTGGTTTGATAAAATGAAGACAAAACCTCTTTTTTGTCTTCTTTGACGATTTTTTTATATGAACTTTATAATCTGATTCCCTTATAATTCTTCTGAGACCACTTCCCTGTGAGTAGCCTGTGTTTCATCTACACCAGATTACTCCTCATTTTTCTTGCATGTAGGAGATTTTCCTGTCATTATGGCATGTTCATGAAGTATCCTTTATCTTAAAAATGTTCTTTTATCGTCATTGTTCATGAATTTTTGCATATTCTTTAAGATCTTCCTCATATCCCAGAGTCTTTGTGAATTTCTCTGAGAGCACTTCTGTAGCAGCTGTTATCTTTTTCCTCTTAATTCCAACCTTTTCTTATTACCAAATGTATTATGTTCTCTATTGTACTTACATTTTGGCTTGCCTTCCAATGTAGAGTCTCATGTATAGCAGGGATTTTATGAATCTTTGATCAGACCTTACAGTGTGCTTTTCCTTCTGCCTGGAATCTTTTCTATTCTTTTCTCCAAGATAATCCTCTACAAATTCTTCAAGACCCACCTAAGTTAGCACCTCTTCTGGAAAGTGTTTCTTAACAGGCAGCATTATCTCAAGTATGTGTATTGGGTCCACAGTGCTTTTATAAAACCTTGTGCGTAACTTTTATTGCATTTAGCACATTGTATTATAATAGAATGTATATTTATCAGATTTCACTGAGAGTTCCTTAAAATTAATGATGTAATCTTTTTTGTTTTTTACATTTGTAATACCTAATATAGTACTGAAAATGGCAGAGATTCAATAAACATGTTGGGAATGCATTTTGAATTTTTTGTTTCCAATCTCCTAGGGTGTCAAACTATTGTAGGTTCAACTACCATGACAACAAAACCACCCGCGTAAGTTCCCTGGGAGGTGTATATATAGGGCAAACCCTAGAGAAAATTGTTCTGTATGACGTTTAGCCGGAAGCATTCAGTGTTACTCATAAAGTTTTTGCACTCCTTTATGGAAGGAAACCTTGGCCCTGGTGACCTAAGGTGGATTTGACTTGTGTTGATCAGATAAAATTACTGTTGGCCCTAAGAACCAATTTTACAAAGATTCTAGGTTTCAGTGGGTCATTAGACCAATGTCAGACCAATTGGATTTATTGCTTTAAGTTCACATCCAGTTATTAACCGTTGACGTTATCTACTGTGGTGAAGAGAGGAAGAGTGTCAAACACAAGGAAAAATTTTATCAGCAAGGAGTTTCTCTCCCAGCCCTAAAGCAGCTGGCATGAGCCACCTGTCATGAATTCTTCCAGAAGCAGAAGTATTGCTAAGCTGATGGTAGCCAAAGGTTTTCTTTATCGATTACTCATGGGCATTGAAAGGCTATTCCAGTTCAAAATCAGGAAATGATTTAATGAGGACATTAAACTTCTTTTAACTTCTCTCCTTCCTTTTTGTACACATTATAGGCATCCTCACCTCTGGTTTTCCTTATCACATAGTTTTACCTCCATGATCTTAGTTAACTCATGTCAAAAACTTGGTATGTTCATGTGCAGTCTCCATACCTTTGTGTCCAAAATATGTTTTGATTCTAGCCAATTTTGTGTCCCTTTATTGCTCTCTCTGTTAATCAGAAGGCACATTTCTTTCTTTTTCATGTTGCTCTACTGCCTTCTATTACCTTCACTGATCTCTAGTTTTACTTTCCTCTCTAATTCATTCTTCACAGTATCCCCAGAATAATTTTTTAAAAACTTGTGTTGCCATTATGTTTAAAAAATACTTCCAATTGCCTGATCTAAAGTCTGTTAGTGCTTTTGTCCCTACCTGCATCATCTCTTGCCATTTCTCCACTCTCGTACTGTAGTCCAGTCATATTATTATCTTTTTTGAATCTAGTCCATGCTCACTGCATGGACTCTTCATTCTTCCACGTGTCAAAACAACCCATTCATTATTTAGCTTAATAGGTCACTTTAGGTCACAATCCAGATTGCTCATACCTCTTCACCGCCATTGTAGCCCTAGAAAGTGTTATAATATTGTCAAAATTTATATGTATGATTATTTGCTTAGTGGTGTTCTCCACAGATGACTGTCAGGTTCATGGAGACAGAGACTGGCTGCTTTGTCAGAGACTCACTGAGATAAACCCTTTTGGTCATGTAAGGATTTGGGGCTTGTCTAGTCTAGGGAACACCCAGTGGACGTTCATTGTACATTGTTGGATATATGAGTCTGGAACTCAAAAAATGGGTAGGAGACATCGTGAATTTTTATCGGCACCAGTTTGCTTTTCTTCTGACAACACTCAGCTACTGGGGGCAAGTGCAGAAAAGATGGAAGGTTAGGTTCATTCAGGGTTAGGATTTTGCCAGGAAGTATGAAGGAGGACGCTGTGGCAGAGAAAAATAGCTCCTGTGCATTCTACGGAAAGTCAGCCCAGGATTGCTGTTCAAACCAAATTCTTTTGGTAAAATGCTGGCAATTTTTCCAAAATGGACTTTTGGTATTTCTCATAGCAGAAAAATTGACTGTGAATTCCTTACCATAAACTATAATGACAGCTTTCTTTCATAATTATTGGAGTACTCTTAGTTCTGGGTTTTTGTTTTTGTTTTTTAATGAATTCTGGGAAGAAGTGCTATACGTGGAAGGATATATTTTACTTTGAATAGAAGACTAAGATTGGTTCTTACATAATTTCAGATATAGAAATAAATAAAAGATTTATCTTAGTATAGACTCTGTGGTTTATATTAGATATACAATTGATTCTTTTCTCATGAAGCACAAGCAGCAGGAGACCCAGAATATCTAGAGCAGCCATCAAGAAGTGATTTCTCAAAGCACTTGAAAGAAGAAACTATTCGAATAATTACCAAGGCATCACATGAGCATGAAGATAAAAGTCCTGAAACAGTTTTACAGTCGGTAAGAACTTTTCTTTTGGCTCTCTGAACATAGCCATGGTCACGACATTTCCCCCAGTATAGTGGAGAGGGACCTGTCTGGGAGTCAGGAGAGACAGGGGCCAGTAATGGCTCTGCCATGGGCATGATCAGTGACCATGGGCAAGTCATCTAATGCCCAGGCTGTGATTTCCTCAGCTGTAATTGTAAAGACACTTTTCTCTTCAGTTTCTGTCTTTCTACTATAGAATTCTAATGAATCATAATCATAGATTAAATTGACCATTTGATTTGGAACTTAAAAAGTGAAGTGTAAAATATAGCAGTATTTCTCCTGTCTCTCACCCATTCCTCCATCTGTAATCTGATTACATTGGAATAGTTGGGAATTTAAGATGTAATTATCATGATTTCATGAAATGTGTTTAACAGTAAAACTACTAGATGCTGTAGGTTACAGTATTATTAGAAGGATAAGTATGATGTTGCAAAACTGTTTATGAATATTTCAGGAACGTCCTGTGCAAAAATGTCATTAGCCTACTCTATGGTAGTTTTCAAATGCATCTTTTTATAACAGTAAATTGAGCATGTTGGTGTTATACTATGTTATCAGTGCATATGACATTCTCAGAGGAGCTATTTCAAGAATTTGTTACTACTAAATCTTTTACTTCCTGTAGTCATTCATCTTTTGTTAGTGAGCATAAGCAACTCTAATGCAGATTTTATAGTAGCTCCTTTTAATATTTGAAGATTCCCCTTGACAACTAAAAAGAGTACGACATACCATAATTTTACAGCACATAATTTTCTGCTTAGTAAGCAAATTCAATGCCAGCAATAACTTGCTAATTGCAATGAGGCCTTAAATGTATAATAAGACTTCCTTTAGCCAGAATGTTCAAGAGATATGTTACTCTGTTGATTTTGTTTTGATGAACTAAATAACAATAAAAATTATTTTTGTTTGAACAATTTTGAAAATGTATTAATATATCATCTTATTAAAAATGTATTAATTTAAATAATTATTTGATGATTCCAAATTTTGCAAATGCCTTAGAAGCTTTAAATGAATTTGATATGAACATCACTAACTCTAAAGCTTTTCCTGGAAAATACTTTGTTTAGTAGATCTGGGATGTCTGCTTCTTGGGTAATGGTAAGAGGAAAACCTAGGGAAGGAGGAAAAACAGAGTAGTAGGTACAAGGGGAAATAGTTTTGTCTGATAAAAACTGCATTTGCAAGGCCTCTGCTAATTAGAACTTTTATTTGTTAAAGCCTAAATTATGATTAATAAGTGTCACTTTTTAAGCTGGTATTAGAAAACCAAAAGCATTACTTAGCTTAATGTAGAATCCTGATTTTAAGTTTGGAAAATCATACGGAATTTAAATTTGCAGAAGTCACCTAAATTTTGGTTGCTCAGCTTAGCATAATATGGATATCGTCTTATAAGGTAGCAACCTACTGCCTCATCTTTACTTCAGAAAGGAGGATGACAGGGGGACTGTATGATCGACAGATATGCTATTTGTCTATTCATTTAATTGTTTTCTGGAGTGGCATCCACAGTTAGCCCCGTCGTGTATGTAAATCCTGAAGCAAGTCTAAGAATTCATTAACCGTGGCTTGATTTTACAGTCAGTTGCTTAGCGTCATGGTAACTACTTCATAGGGGGTTTTTTCATTTAAATTTAGCATACACTAGAAGCTAAATTGCGCAGGTGAAAAGTATCTTCAGACTGGTATTAAACATTTCTGGATTTTGGAATATTAGTTTTATTTATTATGAATGCAACCTTGAATAAATTGCTTAATTTCTCCGGATAGACCTCAGTTTTCTTTTCCATAAAATGAAGGTAATTGTAGGATTAGTCAAGAGCATTATTTGTCAGTGCTTGGCATGGCATGTAGTAGGCACTGAGTAACTGTTGGTTTCCTTCTGTTACTTCAGTCCTAGCCACTTTTCAAATTTGTAATATATTAAAATCAACCTTAGTATAAGAAAAATTTCCTGGAAAGCATAGAATCATGGAAATTAGAGAAAGTCTTCAAATGTTTAGGTACCCTGCTTTTTAGAAAAATGTCTTTACTTTTAAATGGAATACTTCAGGATATTTTCACAATACAGAAAAGTAGACCCTGAGAAAAAGTCATGCATAGTCCCACTTACTACTAAAAGTTAATTATTGTAAATATGTTGGTATTTTTTTCACTCTTATTTTAATATGTAGATTTGGGATTTATTTTTATAGTTGAGTTGCATGCAAAATTTTGTCTTGCTTTCTTTTAGTCACTTACCCTTTATAACCATTTCCCCATGTTATAAACTCAGTAAAAACATTTAGTGACTATTATTCTATTGAGTAATTAACTTCTTGTTTATGTATCTCCTCCCCCATTGCATATTTGTTTCTATTTTTACATTATAAATAGGCTGCTAGAAATGAAAACTTTTTCATATTTCAGGTTATTTCCTTAGAATAGATATCCCATGGTTGAATTACTAGGTTAAAAGGTAAAGGCACATTAATGTGGCCATGGACTTAGAGAGCTTTTTTGCCACCTTTCTTATGAGACCACTTTTTAAAAAGTCATATAATTAATGAATTTCAGGCAATTCATAAAAATCTTTGTATTTTAATTATTTTTGCAACATACTGAGAAACTTATTTTTAACTCTTTTCAAGTTTAGCCTTTGTTAATGTATTCATATAAGACCTGAAAATAATAGAAAAAGATAAGTAAACGTGTATTTTACTTTAGTGAGCCCCTAAATTTTTTACATGAAAAATTTTTATAGTACTTTGGGATATCTAGATTTGATGAATGATACTACAGGATTATTATATGTGGCAAAGTTTCTTCCCCTTTTCAGCTTTTACCCATGTATTTAATCAGCATTTTGCTGTTGAAACTCTTCAATAGTAACTGAAAAGGTTTATAAAACATTTATATTCCCTAAGTACAATATTTTTCCCCCAAAAGGAATCTGTTTTGTAACGATTAATAGTCTCAGTAATAACCATTTGCCTTAAATTTATATTTTCTTTTCCTAAGATAGAATTGTTTTGGATTGGTTTGCTAGTGAGAAATCATCACCACAAACTCCAAACAGATTTCTGAATGTACCTGTTTATATTTCGCTCTTGTGTACAGAGACCTACCACAGTTCTTCTCTTATATGCTAGAAAGATTAAAAATCCTTAATTAAATGTCATGGACCAAGCACATCTCTGCAGAATGTGTGTGATAGTAGTATTAGGTTAAAATTATTCAAATATAAGCAATTTAAAGTAGCACAACAAAATAGTATAATGACTCATAATAGCTGTCATTTTAGAGAACAGCTGTTACCAGGTGTTGGCTGCATATTATCTCTCATGATCATGATACCTGTTTAGGCTGATCATTTCCCATTGAAAAGTTGTCAATTTTGATAAATTAAGGAGACACACATATGTGTATATATATATTTTAAGACAGGGTCTTACTCTGTAACCCAGGCTGGAGTGCAGTGGTGCAGTCTCAGCTCACTGCAACCTGGGCCTCCCAGGTTCAAGCAATTCTCATGCCTCAGCTTCTCAAGGAGCTGGGATTACAAGCATATGCCACCATGCCTGGCTAATCTTTGTATATTTAGTAGCAACGGATTTCACCGTGTTGGCTAGGCTGGTCTCCAACTACTGACCTACAGTGATTCGCCCATCTTGGCCTCCCAAACTGCTGGGATTATAGGTATAAGCTAGCATGCCATGCCAAAAATAGCATTTATTTTAAAAGGGGCAGTACCAGTTGCAGCTATTGGTTTTGTTTTATTGTTCAATTAAACTCTTTTTCTATATATGCTTCCAGGAAGCCAGAAAATGTTCACATTACTAAAATTTACCTATATTTCTAACGGAAATAAAACCTTTTTAATTGCTGTTATGAAAATGTTTTTTGTAATATCAAAACAAAAGTTTATCTTTGTTTATGAAAACTTATGCAATTCAGTTACTTAAGTTGCTTTCAAGCACCTTCAGTACTTTTGGCTTTTTTAATAGATAAATAGTGGATATGCTAGTTATAAATACGTTGAATAAGATAAATATGTAAAAATCTGTATGTTATTTTGAATGAATCCTATTAGTGTCATAAAGTTTTGAATGAAATTTTGTGAATTTTACACTGACTTCTGTATTAGTGTAGATTACTGAAATGCATAGAATTTGTTAACAATAAAAAGAAAAAAAAGGAATAAATCTGCTTGAGTTGTTAAAAATGGGTATCAGCTTCCAACAGCTTTTTCTTATTTTCAGCAAGTGTTTGTTGAACACTTAAGATATAAATATACTGTAGTCTCATAGGCTGTATATAATAAGTTAAAATAGAATATGGGTATTAACTGGATATGCAATTGATTACCAAAAAGAATAGAAGGATAAAATTATAAGGGAAAAACCTCTAACAAATTCTGATGAGTTTAGAGGAGGTCATATCTTATTTTGGTTGAGATATCAAGAAAGGTTTTTGGGAGCTATTAGACTTTTTAAAAAATTGTCAGCTATATAGACAATGATAGAAATACAACTCCACTATTTTTTATCTTAAGTACTTAAAAGTTCTAAATACTTTCAGGGAAAAATGTAATGATATTGGTAATACCCAGTTTGAGGATGTAAAGGGAAAACTGTAGATTTTGTGTTACTACTTGATGAATGCATTTGCTTCTGATGTTCAGTTTTAAGTGGTTTCATTTGATACCTACCAAGTAAATGCAGGTATTTTTTAAAAGATTTAAGAGTATGCGCTTAAACAGTTTTATAGTGCATGTGCATTGGAACTTTTAAAAATAAGTCAAATGGATACGGGGCTGCTGCTTAGGGATGTGCAGGTTGCACAGTTGTGCAAGGATGCCATTGTTCTCCACTGTTCTCTTTTCTAATGTTTATATTAATGATTTCCTTCTGCAGAAACCTGAAAATACTACAAGCCAACCACTTTCTAATCAGCGAGTTGTAGAGGTGGCGATC